TGATGCGGCCGCCTCCACACAGAATAACACCTCCAGCATCCATCCTTTATTGCAGCTGCACGATGTCTCTCAGCGACATCCTTTTACTTGTCTACATTTGTTTAGTGGGAAGAAAAACAAATAATAGCATTAAAAAACTGGAGGGCTTTTTTTTTCCATCTTCACACCAATGTTTTATCCTTTGGGTTAATTTCCTGCTAGGCTCACAGGTGGATTTCCAAAATGGCGTCGCTCCTATTCAGCTCTGAGTTTTTCCACACAGCTGTGTGTTTGCAGAGGCTGCTGAGGGCCCCTCAGAGCAAAGAGCGGAGCCAAGAAACTGTCTGGCCACCAACAGTAAACTATGTGGGTACAGCAGGGCCAGGGTCACTCTGGGCACGCTCAGTTCACCTGCCTGCGATGATAAAGGGGCTGATGTCAGTACAGACAGGCAACTTAAACATGAAGGAGCAGAGAAGTGAGATTCGTGCAGCTTTTTATGAGAAATCTGCTCTTTATTCAGCAAAAAATATAAATCCAGCTACAAATCTGTAAATATTATTAATCTCCAAAGAGAGGAGGAGCTCCCTACGTCCCTCTATGTGTTCACCTTGGGTTCAAACATTAATAGACCTTGTATGGAGTCATTATATTCGCCGACTGAGCTCCTGAAACGGATGTATTCAATAGGAGGCATTTCCGGTAATCAGGAGTTAAAAAACAGAAGTTAAGAAACACTTCAAGGGCTGATTCATTGTTTTTACTGAGTGATATGAAGAATTAACCCGAAATAACATATCTATATTTAAAATATTTATGTAAAAAAGTTGAGTTGTATAATATCATATTTGCCTGTTGGGAAAAAATACCAATTTAATTAAATCATTAAATAATTTTATTCATTATTATTTAATTTTACTTTATTTTTAGAAATAATCTAGATGGTTGTGACCTCACTGTCTTATATCGTCCTTGTTGGATGCTTTTTCAGTTGTTACATGACCTCCTTGTTATTGTTGTTATGCAGGGGAACCAACTCGATGTCCTCTTCCTCGCTGGCTTCTATTTATTCTCTTTTTTAACCTCAGAGTTGTTTTTGTCACTTTATTCTGCCTCTTTTCTTCGTTTCCTCCTCTATCTGCTCTCTCTTTTTTTTCTCCCTCATCCTCTCCCTGTCATCAGGGGGTGTAATGCCACGCTCTAAATAACTTTATTGACATCCCAATCGGTTGTGGATAACAGCAATTATCCCAGCCCTTTTTTTTCTATGTGCTTCCTTGCTGGTGGGGAGCAGGCGCACTTTAAAACCAGCTGTCAAACACAAACACGCTCCTATTTTTAACATGTTTGCTCTGACTTTCACTCCTGTTTTGATAGAAAAGCAGAGATGGAGAGCATGTGCACTTAGGAACCGTCTTTAACAGGCTTTCTGGAGCATGAAGAGGCTTACTGTGGTTTTCTCCCCTCCTATACAGGGAGAGCAATGTAGCAAGACTATGTGAAGTTGGCTTCTTTAAAGCTGAGTGGCCGTAACTCATTGCGCTAGAATGTTTGCTCTCTCTTATCCTCTAACAAATCTCCATGGTTACGCTTCTTTGCAGAGAGCAAGGTCATGAAATACTGAGTTAAAGCTCCAACCATCGAGCGTTTTTGTCAGCAGAGGATTAGTTTTTCCACCTGATGAAGTCACATTCTCTACATGTTTCTGTAAAAAGCAGAGCAAAAGCTGCAGGTTATGTTATTTTCAGCAACACCAGAAAATATTTCTAATTTTGTCTCTTTCCTGCAAATGGAGTCTGCATGATAAACAGAACAATGTGTGAGTTAGTAACAGTGATGTGAGGTTATGCTTAAAACACAAGAAAAGCTTTATGGTTAAATCTGAGAAATTTGTTGAGGTTCTTCATGACGTGGCGTCTTTGAGGAGAATGACACTCCAACTAACACTGGATCAAATTTGGACCCAACAAAAATCGGGTTGTCTGATGTAGCAATAGGAACACATTGAAGCCATTTGAGCCACGCAGACCGCTGGTGATTCTACACCACACTGACTCAGTCTGTAAGACCAATAGTCGCTGGGGGGTCTGTTCTGGTCAGACCTACCGGTACAATGCAACATGATGGGAAGATGTTGACTAAGACAAGAATTTAAAAATTCTGTTAAAGTAAAAAAAAAAAAAATAGGTCTATAATTGAAACTAGAATGTTCCCTCCCCATATGATTAATTTTCAGTCTTTCTTTTTTTTAACTCACAGTGCAGCTTGTGTTTGTTAACCTGCTTTTTAACGCTTCAGCTCAAGATTTTTCATATGTGAATACTTGATGTTTCAAGACTAGTGACCCATTAATGGAGTTTGTTAGTAGTTTTAAAAGGCCTTTACAGGCAGGAGCCCAATCTGACTTGGGCAAATAATGTGGAGATGCGTCAACAGCGCTACAATCATTGTTGTCTGAATAGCAGTGGCAGTAATGAAGGAGAAAGCAAGAGGAAGGAGAATCCGTCCTATCAGTAGTTTATCCAGCATAGTGACCTTCCAACATATCTGGTGCTTAGGAGCTACATGGGTTACAGCCCAACGCAGTTTAACAAAAATACATCCTGTCTTCCGATGTTGAGCCTATAGTGTGGAGCACTTGCAAATGTACACACCCTCATATGTTTTGGGTTCTATAATGAAGAGCTATATTTGTGTGTCTTGTGTTTTTGTAGAAATAGGTAGAGCTTATTCCAACAACTAAAGAGGCTGCAAATTGCATGTGCAATTGTTTTGTTTTTTTAGTATTTGTGATAAGAGGGTGTGTTTTAGGTTATATGTTGCTTTACAAATGTTAAGACATGCAAAACAATTTGGTTCAACCTATTTAAATTAGCAGATTGTTCTAATGGCAGTTTGAGAGCAAAGAAAGACGAGGTTCTAAGCCATGTACTTGGAAGCAATAAGTATACTTCTAAACAATATTGAGCACTTTAGGTAGGTAGCCTAAACTCTACAGCCTAAATGCTAAGTATCTCTAAATGCTCTTAATGGAAGTCTAAATGCTTCTTTAAATTATTTTGTTTTTCTTTCTGCCAAATATTTATTTCACAAAATTAGATGGACATCTCTCAAAAGATAATAAAAAAGGCATAAGAAGTATCAATTTGCATTAAAATTAGTTTTGTCATTAAATTAAAATTAAAAGATTAACTTTTTTTTAAAAAAAGCCCTTTTCACTTAAATGATGTTATTTGTATTTCATCAACATCAAACATCTTTCGTCATGTCTTGCTGGCCCTCCTTACCATCACCCTAATATTCAGCTCCATTCAAAGCATCAGGACTCCGGCTGGGCTGCTTTACAGTCACAAGAAAGTAATACTTTTAGCATTTTCTGGCCTAACGGTATTTAATATTTAATTGTGGCAAAAACATTTTAATAAACCGGTTTTAGCGAGGCTTAGCATCTAGAACCAAATCTCATCAGTGATTTCATAGACATGGAGACCCATCTGTGGAAGTTTACCAGTGAAATCTCCTTTTATTACAAAATAATCAAATAGAGTGAGTGAATTCTGTTTGTTTTAATATTAATTAAGTCTGTTTAGTTTAAAAAAAACATCAGACTTACTGGGAAATATCTGCGTTCAGCAGGTTTATACATGAGGCCCAGAAACGGACTCCCCATAGGTGGGGCTATAGGTCAGAACTGCAGGAGGTAGATGAACCCACTGGTTCTAACAGCTGACAGGTGCCTCAGAAACATCCAGCTGATTCTGCTGCATTGGAGCAGACAGGTTCTCTCAGAGCTAGTAGTGTCTCTATCAGCTGGAAATCCCTGGACTGAAGCTCCAACAGGCAGCTTCTGCTTTTATGAACAGAGATCAAATATCTATGCATTACTAAGGCAAGTCTGACTCCTGCCAAGTTAGAACTAAGAACCAAGAACTAAATAAGAGCTCAGCTATTTTTATCATAATTTTTCATGAAAGTTTCCTGCTTACTTTGCTTAAGCAGGCCACCCATCTGCATGAGGCGTCTGTCAAAGGTCTGCAGAGAGAGCGGAGCGGGAAGAGTGGAGGAAATAGAGGATTCTGTAGTGCATGAGTGAGTTTCTGGGCTCAGTGTTGGTTTAGTTAATGACTGGTGCATATGTCAGCCACACAGCTGTGGAGTCACAATCAGCCAGCCAGCTGAGGAGGGGAGTGACGGAGACAGAGGAGCAGGAGGCAGATTTAAAGCGTTAAGCTGTTGATGATAAAAACGGAGGAAAGCATTTCTTAGAGGCGAGCAGCGAGGCAGAGGAGGTGAGAAAGGGGATAAACAGAGAAGCATCCACAGGGAGTGAAGGAGAAAGAGATTCAGCCCAGATAGTTTCCATTCTTCTGCTGCTCCCTCAGCCTGAGCTGAAGAAGAAAAGGCCGAGGCTGCGGTCCAAATCATTACCCTCAGCTGCCTTCTGGAAACTATTTACTGTTGTCAATAAAAACCGGGAGAAAGGAGGCAGTTTGTACGACGGAAAGAAGAGCTGGAATGAGGGACTCCTCTGTAGGAAGATTGCATGTTGATGATGGGCGGCACGCTTCCCTTTGTGCTCTCCAGGATATTAGCATATCTTCTGTACCTTCTCCGGGTCTTTTCACCCACACTTCTTTTGACTTTAGCTTTCTACCACGGCTGGCCTGCTCAGTCGGTCCCGGCCTTTTTCCATCAGCGCAGGGATTTAAGCCTTTAAGAGCCTCTGTCCCTGCAGTGGGGGCTTTAAGGCAGAATATGTGCAGAACGCAGTTTGTTATAGGGGAAAGATCAGAGCTGGGCAAAGCAAAAAGAGGAGAAGATGGTCCATGAGGACACCAACAAAAGCATTGCATTTGCTCCTGAAAAATGAGCTTTTTATGAGACCAGGGGGCTGGTTTAATGTGTACATAGCGCTGAGAGATCTCTACGAATCATTTCTCATCTTTGATCATATCATGTTAAAGTTTAAACTTCGGCTTACTGACAATGATTTTCAATCATTTATCTCTGTGCCCCTGCAGGCAGACCCGGCAGCAGGAAACCCCGCCAGACTTCTTCTACTTCTCTGACTTCGAAAGACACAACGCAGAGATCGCTGCCTTTCATCTGGACAAGTAGGTGGACATCCCTCCCCCACCTGTTACTAATTCAAAGGATTCATAAGAGGAGCTGTAAAGATCTACAGTTCGTATTGAAATATTCCAAGAGAAATCCAGTTCATGTTTTGTGTTTAAAGAGAGCAAACACGTAGAAGGTCTGAGCGTGAAAACCAGCCCTGTTCTAAAGTGTTCTAGATGTGACCTCCGTCTCTCAGCAGGGATCTTTGCCTCCTGCTGAGACAGAAGAACTTAAATGGAAAACATTAATATTCCAGAGGAAGAAACGGCAGGCTCAAACCATACAGACATGACACTTTTAGTATGTGAGTCAAACTCATTTGCATACTATTTGCCTTAATGCAGCAGCTCTCTGCAGATCCAGATTATGTCCCAGCACTGTAAACATTTCTAAGTAGGTTGGAGCAAAAGGCTGGGTTGGTGTGAACTTACCGTCACTTTCCTGGTGCTTATCGTGCATCCTTTAAGGCAGCGTCCTGCAGGGATTTTGTTCATCCCCGATTGCTAATTATCCTGTCCCCATGTCAGCTCATTAACCACCTGGGAGGAGTCCAGACTGGAGGCAGAACCTCGCAGGAGTGCTGCAGTTCTGCTGCGGTACTTTGAGAGTTTTTGAAGGAACAAAGCTAGAGCTGAATGATTATGTCTGGAGATCAGTGCAGATAATAAGGAGAAAATGTGAATATCATGTGATAATTTAACAAGGTTTTTCTCTACAGTATGTGGTTGTGTGATGGACTGTCAGTAGTATGAAAAAAGGCCTGAGTGGGGCGCTGTAGCTCCTGCTCTCATCATAGGGGACCCATCCAACTCTCAAAGGGTACTTAGATATATGCATAAAAGTTGCTCTTAATGCAATATAATCCACAAGGATACTCAGTTCTTATGGGATTATGGTATAAAACATGTGATCTGCAACATGCATGGTTTTATTTCATTGCTTTAGACCACAAATCTAAGGATTTTAAAAAGATTAAACTTCCTCAACTGCGAGAAGAGATAAATGGTTGTTTGTGTCTCATAGAGTAGTTTTACTTTCTGGAAAACAATACAAAACAAAACAACCGAGCTTGTTTCTCTCAAAGCAAAACTTGAAAAAAAATAGATAAAATGTCAGCAAAGTTTTCATGACATTAAAGACATTTAAAGGTCTCTTCCACAGGTGATAACTTCATCAGCCCGGTGCTTTAAGATGGATCCTTTTTCTGAACTAATGGCTACAGTGAAAAGTTGATGATCCTTTCAGAGTTCTGTGACCTGCTGTTACAGATTTTAGAGGAACTGGGTCAATAGATTTGAGGAGACATATGCAGCCTGTCATTAGGGGATGTCACACTGTGTGAGAGAGCAGTTGCTCTAAACCACCTTTTCACAACAACAACAACATTATTTCAGGTTACTGCAACACTTTTCTATCCAGTTTCAGAACAGGAAGCAGTTAAATGTTCTTCTCTGCTCCGTTCAACCTTCCTGTCATGTGCTGGAAGTTGTGCTCTCTCTGACAGCCTGAATAAACCTTGCAGAGTTGTTTTTTTTAAATACATTTACATCCCGTCATTTAAAATGCCTCCTTGCTTCCACACTGAAGAGTGTTGTTTTTAGCAGAAATTGTTGCCGTCTAGATTCAGCCAGGCACCAATCAGGGCCAATCAGGCTGAAACTTGGCAGAATCCTGGGTTCTTTAGTGAGATCATTTGGATCCGTTGTTGTTGCTGTCTATGTTTCACCGTCTTGAGTGTTGGTGTTGGTCATAAAGTATAAACATAAAATAGATTTAAAGGTTTCAGTGCCTTTTTCCATCTTTATATTTGTATAGATATTTTTTCATTTACGTTTTGTGTTCTAACTCCAGCCGGCCTCGCCTCATATCGGCGGTTTAAAACTACCTTTATCTCCTCATCTGTTTGCTCTCGATCGATGGAGGCTGTTCCCTCTGCAGCTTTTATTACAACTCTTCCTATTTTCTAGTAGATTCTGTCGATGCGCAGAGAATTGTCACTAGACGGAGCAGGACATCAGATACATTTTGAATTTAACACACACAAAATCAAACAAACAGACGCCATGTTTAGATGGTTTCTTTAATTAAAATTAGAGAAATGCTAACCGTTAACGAGTCTTTGAAAAAAAGGACACCTCTTCAAATACTACCAAAATTAAGCTTTTTTTACTCATTAAACAAAATGCATCAGCAACAAAAAGACAAAACATCCCGATTATGTCGAAATGAGAATTTGTTGATAATGTTGACATAATAGATATCCTTAGATCCAAATATGGTTGCAGGACACCCTCTAGCCTTTTATCTGTTCTGTTCATCGAGATCTTTTATCTACTCTTATTTTATGCACCTGTTAATGCTTTTCTCAGTGTGTTCTCTGGTTCCAAAGAGTCAGAAAGGTTTCCACACGTCCCTTGCAGGCAGAGACTCCATGAGGGCCCTCCTGCTGCTAGCATCCAACTGAACAATGACTAAGCTAACCACTGGGCTCTCTAACTTCCCTAGTAAACATGTTTTCCTGCCTGACCGCCTGCAGCAGAGGCCCTAATGAAAGCAGAGACCCTCACAGGACTCCCTGATTGACAACAGAGTGCAACCAGTTTGGACTCACTGTTGCCATTAAAGTCAAGCTGTTTCCAAAGTGGGGGAACAGCTTGGGGGTTGGGGGGTTGAGGCAGGTGTTTCTAACGACAAAAAAAAACATTTCAGAGGTCACACTCAGACACAGCCGAGGGCAGCCATGTTGAATCCTCTTCTCCCCTCCTTCAGGCACAATAACAAGAGTTCATCAGCAGTTACACGTGCAGCTGGGTTCGGATGCACATCTGGTCTAAACACACACGCCAGCGTATGTGTGGGTTCACAGGAAGAGGAGAAAACCAAAAGCATGAACGTCTCTGTGACTAAATATAAGTCAGGCAGGGTTTGCCAAAAGCAGCGCTTTATTTTTTCCCTTATTTTCGTCTGTTCTAAATTAGAGCCTGTCCAGAGAGGAGCTGCTGCTGGTGCTGCTGCTGGTATTACTGGTGGAGCCACTGCACTGCCTCCCACAGGGCTCACAGACACACACACACACACACACACACACACACACACACCCCTTTTATGTAGGCTTTGCTGCCTTAAACATGATTAATGACGTGATTGGGTTTAACTGGGAGGAGCACTTGCTGTTGCTGCATTAGGAAGTCAGCAGAAATGAAGAAAGGAATGGCTTCATATAACTTCACCATATTTAACCATTTAACTCCAGATTCAGCTCACTCAGCTCTCTGCAGACACAGAAGGCGTTACCAAGGCCGGCCCAGATTCTGCTTTGTCCTCCATCCTTTTTTTCTGTCTCTGAGACAGTAAACAGGCCCCCTACGCCTCGTCCTCCAGCATCCCTGTGCCTGCACACTTCAGCCATTAGGTGTTGTCATGGGCATCAATTTTTAAAGAGCAGTGCTGATATTGCAGTCAGGTGGTGCACAGCGAAGGGCGGTGCATGCATGAAAAAGGTGAGACGGCTGGATATCTAGTTCAGAGAGGAATGAGACCAAAGTGTCCCTCTTTTGGTGGATTTTAAACACTGATGTTGTCATAGAAACGTTTGCCTTGAAATATGTTGAGGTAAGGAAAAAGGAAAAGTTAAGAATCAGGGCCTCTTCATGACCACAGGGACAATGTTCACCTATGGAGTTTTAGTGATACAACAGTGCCCCCTGTTGGCAGTGGTAGGAGCCTACATGTGGTCCCAGTGATGGGCAGCAGGTGCATCTCTGTAAAAACAAACCATACCCAGGTATTATACCATCTATCACATAAAAAGTCATATATTGACATCTTTATTTCCTTTTCCTTATAATGTTTAAATTATAGTTAAAACAAACCTAATATGGAGTTAATAACATAATATCAAATCAAACCAATAAAAAGTTAAAAAAAAAAACAATGTTTTGCGTTGTGTCTTCATATGCCATAAAGAGTGTAAACCACAAAAGGATATTGCTTAAGAAGCTGGTTGTTCACACGAGGCTCTGTTCCGGCCATATTAAGATAAAGTTAAGTGGAAGGAATAGATGTGATAGAAAAATGTGCAAAAAGTCTTGATTATGTTATAAAATAATAGAAGTTATTTACTCTGGTCTGCCTTTGGTCAGTGTCTCATATCTGACCCTGTCTGACAGGATCCTGGATTTCCGGCGCGTCCCACCTGTTGCTGGCAGGCTGGTCAACATGACAAAGGAGATCAGAGACGTTACCCGAGACAAAAAGCTGTGGAGGACCTTCTTCATCTCTCCAGGTAAGTCACAGGAAAGTTACACACATTCTGCAAAGACATAACAACACCAAAGTTTTCAGACTTCATATTTTTTTCTTCACATTTTTATGTTTTGAAGTTAATGGGTGGTGCACACCTGGATTTGTGTTCAGTTTTTTTCTCTCACGGAGGTTCAAGTCTTGTGGCCTTAAGTCTGACTCCTGGCATTGTCACTTTTATGCATCATGGTACATTGGTCTATTATTGTGAAAAAAAATGTGTTCTTCTTCTGTATATCTTAAAGAAAGTCAAAGGCTTGTAATGAATAACCTTTTTTCTTTCTCATAATGTAAAGCTGAGCTACCCCAGTGTTCATTTGCATGGATTAGTACTATCTGGAGACTTTACCTTGAGTCTGAGCACTTCATTTAATTACCAGTCCTTCACTCCACATATGAAACACGTGGAAACCACTAAGGATTAAAATTAACAGCAATCTCAGCATTTACCACAGCTCAGTGAACGCCCCCAGGCAGCTTTAACCGAGCACAGCGAGGGGGAGGTATATGTGGCGTGAATAATAAAGGAATGCAGGGCAAGCAGCCACCAGGTGGAGTACTGGAACATATCTGGAGGAAGTGTGTCTCAGCTGGTAACCACAGGGTGTTTCTCTTCTCTCAGCCAACAATGTGTGTTTCTACGGTGAGTGCTCGTACTACTGCTCCACCGAGCACGCTCTGTGCGGGAAGCCAGACCAGATAGAGGGATCCCTGGCTGCCTTCCTTCCAGACCTGGCCCTCGCCAAGCGCAAGACCTGGAGGAACCCATGGAGGCGCTCCTACCACAAACGCAAGAAGGCTGAGTAAGAGAGTAGTGACGTCCTTACTACAGATGCTGCAGCTCAGCAGCTGGTGGACTTCATTAAAACCACTGACTACAAAGTTTAGGAAATATTCTGTAGGCCTTCAGGAAAACTCACCCATTATGATGCCAGTTTGTAAAATGAGAGACAGTTTAATAAGAGGAGGAGAAATCTAATTTGGTTTACATTCAGTTAAGGTCAATTTTCCTAATTCAAAATCTGTTATTTCAGATGGGAGGTGGATCCAGATTACTGCGAGGAGGTGAAACAGACTCCACCATACGACAGTGGCACACGGCTACTGGACGTCATGGACATGACCATCTTTGACTTCCTCATGGGTAACTTGGTTTTTTAAATGCCACGAGCTTCGATTTGCTCTGATGTCCTCTAAGATGGACCCCCACTCCCAAAACCTTTTCATCCACAATTTTGGATTATTTCTGTGCAGGGAACATGGATCGACATCACTATGAGACATTTGAAAAGTTTGGAAACGAGACATTCATCATCCACCTGGACAATGGCAGAGGGTGAATAAAGTTACATTTTAATCTGTGCTTTTTGCAGAATGTTAGAAAATCTGAAATAATCCAAAGAGCTCATGGAGAGAACCTCCTTTATGCATCTGTTTTTCTTTCCAGTTTTGGAAAACACTCTCATGATGAGATGTCCATCCTGGTGCCACTTGTGCAGTGCTGCAGGTAAGCTCCACTTTCTAATCTTTGTTGATTTTAATATTTTCTTGTATTACAACCAGGGCTGTTTTATTTATAGATACTAGTTCTCCTCTAATTGCTAAAGTTGGTACAGATTGCACAGCTGAGCTGCAGAAATAGGAGCGTAGTTTTCTGCATCTGAATTCTTCTAACTAGAGAAAGATGCTACAGAAATTCAGTTTATTTTCTTCTTTTTCAATAAAAACAATAATATAATTAAAGAAAAAAGTTACATTTAAATTTTTCATCCCCATCATACCTGAAGCAGAACTTGGATAGCAAGAAAGATAAGTATTTTCGTTCCAGAGTTTTCAGCACCACAGATGTTCGGACAGCGCCGATAGACAGCGACATCCAGACAGAAGCTGCTGCATGAGTGTAGTTTGATCTAGCTGATGCAGAGCTAACGTCTGCAGCTCTCACTGCTGGGTCTGTGCAGGGTGAAAAAGTCGACCCATCTGCGCCTGCAGCTGTTGGCAAAGGAGGAGTACAAGCTGTCAGTTCTCATGGCAGAATCCATGACGAGGGACCGGCTTGACCCCATCCTCATCCAGCCTCACCTGGACGCCATGGATCGACGTTTGCGCCTGGTCAGTGCTTCATTATAACTTTTTCTGCTGTTTTCCTGAACAAGAATCTAGAAAAGAAAAACTACAGAATAACTGAACTAGATAAAAGATGCAGCTTTCTACCTGCTATCTTCTTGGTACCAATCTGCTGTAATTCCTCAGATTGAAGTATTTCTGCCTTCCTGTGTTCAGCATCCTCAGATCCACCTTCTGAGGGACAAGCTGGACAGAATCCAGCAGGTTAAAGGTCACTGTTTCTTGGAGCTCTTGTACCACAAATAAAACATTAAACAAACCCCAGAATCACGGTAACAGAAACACATAAAAAAGTAATAAAAAATAGTTAATTTTCAGAACCGTTCTTAATAATTCATTGCACTTTTGTGTAACTAATCAACAGAAAATATCCTCCTATTAATGAAGTAGGAGAAAATTGAAAATAGAAACAATTTTATCCGATACCCCTAAACAAATCCACTGCAACCAGGAAAGCTCCTTCTACAGAAGACAGGGGAGGAAGGATTTTAACCAGAGACCCTAAAAGGAAAGCTTATTTAAAAGGGAACATCCAAACAGTGATAACATGTTTTCACCCTAGAATGTGATCCTGGACCAAGAAGAGCATTTGCATATATTCGTTGGTAAAAACAATAACAAGCAAGGATGTAATAGATCATAAGATGCAGAGTGGGTATGACATAAAGAAATAACAAAATTCCAAAGCAATCTCTATTAAATAGCTGGCATAAAAACTGATTTTTAATGATGCGGCAAAGCTAAAAAATGGTTTAATCTGTGTAGATTTTGCTGTCAAAGAGGTTGGGATTGTTTCAAGAAAGCTCCCCAAATCATTACCCTCTTTCTGTTGAAGCGAGAATCGGATTTTCTCCGACTTTAGTCAGGACTTGATGTCAGCCAGCCACTGAATGGAGTTAGTGGAGATTCCTGTTTGTTTTTATCTAGATTTCCCCCTCCCTCTACAACACCAAGCAGGGCAGTCAAAGGGTTAAAACGCAAAGCAAGTAAATAATTGTCCAAACTTGAGCAGAAAGAAAACATATGGATAAAAGATTCTTCAGCATATGCACATCTCGACTATTCAAACTCATCTCTGAGTCCTGAGATGAGGATTTGAAAGCTGGTTTGACATCACAGGGCTTTAGAGAGAAGACATAGAGAGATCAAAGTATTTCTGAAACTGTGCCCAGATTTCTAATGAGTATTTTCACAACAGGAAGGAGCGGTGATCTCAAAAAGGTCAGCATGGACTGTAATAAAATCAAAAAAATGCTACACAACGCAATAATAAATAAAGGACATTTGAAGGGACAATGCTGCCTCGGATTTTTGAAGATGCATTTTATTTAGATGTAAATGTTTTATCTGCAGGAATAAGTATGAGATGATGGAATAAAAAAGGTGTGGAATGTGATGTGGAAAAAAAAAAAAGGATCCAGAAATAAAAACTGAAATGGTCTTAAAATGATATAGAAATATAGGCAAGCTGACCATTGTAACTGCACCTGATAAAGCTCCAACAAAAAGACAAAGTGCTCTATATATAGATCCTTATAACTGTAATTCCTAAGGAGAACAATTTAGAGTTCCCAACCAGTTTCTGTCAAATTCCTCAAGCAATAATAAAACAGAATGTTCTGTATCAATCACAAGAACATAAAGCAATGGCTTTAACTACAAGGTTAAAAAGCAGATGAAGGCTAAAAGGTTTCGATATGTGAGGCGTGGTACAGATGGTAGCAAAGGGATGTGGGTGTTTTGGGCCCAATTTAAAAAAAATTGGAGACAAAAGTGAATTCATATTAAACTGGCAGTCCCACTCAACATGGTCAAAGGCACACACGACACACTCAGCATTAGACAAAGGGGAAGAAATAATGTCAAAGAGGTATTGAAAAAGGACTTTATGCATTAAAAGAAGCCTGTTTAGGGTCAAGATATAATAGAAGGGAGGATATTTTACAACCTTTGTGCAAGAACTTTGGCCAAAACATTTGCAGTTCTATTTATAAGAGAAATAGGAGGAAAACTGAGTTGTAAATTTTGCATTTTTGCAATGAGGGTTTCATAGAAAGATTTCATAAGGGCTTTTCTAACCAGTGACTCTAAAAAAAAAAAAAAAGGAAGGGTAGGAGTGGAGTGGAAAAATTACAGAAGTTTTGGAAAAATCTGAACATTTCCAAGACAGCTGACTCAGTTTCTGTCATGGAGTTTGGGACCTCCATCACCTCTGTCAGGTTAGGTGCAAGAAACTTTAAGGTCGTATTGCTTTGGGAATCTGAAGTAAATAAATGGGCATAAAAATCCCTGAATGCTATGATAATCTGTGTGTGGTCTGATGTAATATTGATGCATTTTTATTGAACCTTTTTATTTATCCTTTAGCTGGTTTGCAAGTAGGTTTCCAGATTTTTCTCCATAGATGTAGAACAGTGGATCTACATTTCAAACTTGCATCAGGCCTCCAGAGGAAGCCTCGTCATGAGTACTAATGTTTTTTTTTTTTTTTTTTTTTTTGGTTTTTTTTTTTGGTTTTTTTACAAAACAGGGGGTTTGTTTTGAGTAAATTGTTTATTCATTTCTTATATCTGCTGAATTGAAATCATTTATTTTTTCAAACTCCTATGAAATGACCCCTGAGGTACAGCCCAAACATCTTATTCTTTAACCTGCAAAGAGTTTGGATTCAAGGTCAAAATCCAGACTTTTCTCTGACCATTGAGGGGAACCAACCATTAAACCTTGTCTCGTGGCATCTTGTTGTCCGTAGGTGCTGAATACTCTGTCGGAGTGCATCGACAAGGAGGGCTACAGCTACGTGGTTGAGGACGACCTCCAGGAAGACCTAGGGGCCGACCACACACACAGTGACCCCAGGAGGAGGTAGCCAGGGGGTCCAGTTGCCTGGATTGGACTGACTCCCATGAGAAATGAGACTTGACACTTATCTGAATCCGTCTGTTGGTGAAACGTAGCAGGCAGACCTCTACTTGAGGGGAAATTCAGCTGTCAGACACACAGACCATGCAAAGACTTTTTTAAACTGGACCTGGATGGATCAGAGAACCAACCTTTAGCCAACAAGGACCCAGGAAGGAGGCAGCTTGTGGCTCATGGACCCTTATGTTTGAATTCAGTGAATTCTGAGGGCCCCTTTAAAAACAGCCCTCCTAATTCTTCCTGAACTAATCAGTATAAGAGGAGGTGGAGCTGAAACTGGATCAAAATGAAGTTTTACTAATTTCTTTTGTAAAATATTTTGTTGCTTAGTTTCTTTTTTTAAATTTTTATTTCAGCTAATCGGTTCCAGCCTCTTGTTAGAGGTTGTTGTTGGAGTACAGGTTTACTTCTAGATCATTTTGTTCATAAACTTCTACTGGAGAGAGTATTTATTAAAATTCTTATTTATTTGCCTCCCCACCAAAAAGGAAAAAAAAAAAAAAAGTTTTTAACGAAAAAGGAAGTGAAATAATTTTCAACAGAATAGTGCACTTCTCTGTTTCTCCACAAGAGGGCGTGCAACAACCTAGTTTCTGGTAATGGTGGTTCTGCCCTTTGTCTTGTCAGCATTTAATCAGTTTCCAGCAGCTGTTTTATCTCTTTCTCTTCAGATGTCAGGGTAGATTTAAGCCAAATGTGACACTAATTATTATTACAATGATGATTATTTTTGGTTTGTAATGTATTTGATGTGCTGATGTTGCTGTTGTGGAAAGATAATCTTTCAGGATGTAAATTTCCTTCAACAGCTTCTATCTGAGCTGTTGTCAATGATTCAGTCACTGGCTGAAAGTTAATATATACAGTAGGAAAATCTAGTGCCTGTGCAATGATAGAAATACTTGAATGTGTGGTTTCATAGCAGGGTGGGAGGGTGCAAACTGTAGAGCTCTTCATAAGTGTCTGTGCTGAACAAGGCGGATTCCTAAAGCTTTTATTATCTACTTCCTGTGGTCCTGTCTGTGTCAGGGCAGAACGGAGGATGGGGGTGTGTGGGAATCCATGAAGACCGTGGTTCTAAATTTAAAAAGACAAAAAAAAGCTTCTTTCTTTTATTGAATCATTGTTTTTTTTATTTTCTTTTATTTCTTTGCATCATGGTAACAGTGCAATAAAACTAAATCAGCATAATCTTGTGTGAGTTTGGTTGTTTATTTGTTACGATTCTGCAAAAAACTTTGGTCCATCCAATTGAGCCTGCAGAATTAGTTGGAGGGTGAGCACATCATCCTTTAAAGGTATAGAGATCTTTTATTTCTGGGTGGATCATCTAAATAAATGGTCCTACTAATTGTCTATGATTCTGGTCATATGTTTACATAAGGCCATCCTACGAGGGGCGTTCAATAAGTAATGCCCCTGACCCACTTCCAGATGTTTGATCCAGCTGAAATTTTGCATGTGGCATTATTTAAATCTCTATAGATTAAGTAGCAAATTACATCTCTGAACTATTTGAGATTTCTGACTTACAAGTGTTTGAACTGAGTAAAGTCTGAAATGGAGCCTGTTGAGTGTGATCCGGTTTTTCTATTGGAAAGGACTCGCTCCACAGGAGACTTTTGATGAAATTAAAGTGACTTATGGTGATGATGCCCATTATATGACCTTGCAAAATGTTTTACAAGATTATATTACGGGATGTTATCACTATAAGTTACTTTCATTTGACCAAAAGTCTCCCGTTGTGTGCGTCTTTTCAAATGCAAAAACACAGACTTGACTCAGTTTTTAACACTTGTAAATCAGAAACCACAATTAGTTCAGAGCTGTAATTTGCTATTATTTCTATAGAGATTTAAATAATTTCATATGGAAAATTTCAGAGCAATCAAACACCTGGAAGTGGGTCAGGGGCATTACTAATTGAACGCCCCTCGCACGTGTGCAGACAGTCATTGAGGCACACCTTTCTCACCGCAGTTCTTTGCAAATGGCAGCTGGTCATAAGAGGAAAAAGTGTCTTCAAAGTGTATGAGAATAAAAGACAGGCCTCAGAAGAGGCAGGTATATCCCAGAATGCTTTGCGCAGAGAGCTCTCTTCACCAAGCATTATGGAATTTGCTGTCACCATAGGCTGTTGCTACCCGACAGTGGGGACTAATAACGGACATTCAAGCACAGTAACCCTGTATGAGCTATGAAAACAACAACTTTTCAACAGAGTGTGCATGAGGAGAAGAAATGGGCTTGTGCATGCTCTCGTTTAATAGGTGTTCAGGTACTGGTACAGGGTTGTGCATGTGCATTTCTTTTTAAAGTGGAAAGGGCGGGTCTTTTAAAAATTTCGCAAAAACCCTCCACACTAACTTTAAAGGAATAGTACACCCAAAACATGATTAGCCTTCATTTTCTACTCACCCCCATGCTGAACAACACTCTGGAGTACTTTTTTGATATCTCAAATGCATCTGGAGATCTGGGAGGCTTCTTGCTGTCTGCTGACATTCAAATAATGGAGGTGCCCAGCGCCCGAGACAGAAAGGTCCATAAAAGTCCACAAAAAACGTGTCAATATTCCTCCATACTGCTCGTCCTATGTATTCCAAGTGTCCTGAGTGGGTAGCATCCAGAATTTACTTGAAACGAAGTCATTTAGAATGTTTTTAGAGCATAAACAGTAGTGTATAGGATTTCCTGAAAGCGCGCACATGCGCGATCCCGACGCTACAGAAGCCGGCAGACCAAACCAGCGCATTCAGCTCGGCAAAGAACTCATGCTCTTCCTCAACACTGAAGTCCTCAGACATTTTTCTTTCGTTGTTTCTTTCTTTGCACAGGTAAACAGCACATTTCTTCTTCTACGCTTGCATTATCGGCAGAGCAGACGCTGAATGCGCACTTTCATCCGGTTTGGTCTGCCGGCTTCCGTAGCGTCGTGATCGCGCAGGTGCGCGCTTTCAGGAAATCCTATACACTACTGTTTATGCTCTAAAAACAAAATGACTTCGTTTCGAGTAAATTCTGGATGCTACCCACTCAGGACACTTGGAATACATTGGACGAGCAGTATGGAGGAATATTGACACGTTTTTTGTGGACTTTTATGGACCTTTCTGCCTCGGGCACCATAGACCTCCATTATTTGAATGTCAGCAGACAGCAAGAAGCCTCCCAGATCTCCAGATGCATTTGAGATATCAAAAAAGTACTCCAGAGTTTTGTTCAGCATGGGGGTGAGTAGAAAATGAAGGCTAATCATGTTTTGGGTGTACTATTCCTTTAAGTATGTAAAGTTCAGGGGAAATACATATTTTGGTCACTTCAATAACCTCATGCATTCAAACAGAGAAAGGTGGCGTCACAACGATTGCTGTACAGCCCAAAGGAAAATGGCCGCCAGCCCAGATCTGCATGTTTACAGTTCTCAGTTGTGTTTTGATAACCTTTCCTGACAGAACAGCCGCCGGAAAGCCTCCTCAGACACACACAGGAGGACTAGAGGAAGTGGTGTCTGAGACAACCATCAGAGGGGACAGAGAGGGACCAGAGGAGACCTGTAATCACTGCAGCCGGCTGCAGACAGGCCTCCAGAGGAAGCCTCGTCATGGGAGCGGGCCACGGGAGCCTTATCTGATCCTAGCTCCTACCAACCTCACACAATGACCTCTTAGTCTCCTCTGCTCAGCCGCTCTGTTTGTTGCTTCCAGTTCTGCCTGAATCAGTTTGTTTTTCTTGGCCGGTAGAGATGCAGAACACCTGAAAGGGAAATTCAGACACATTTAAGTGTTCCTCAAGGAATCGACAGAAATATAATCAAAGATTGGGGTCTATGGTTCCAGAGGCCGTTGCCTAAATGAGTTGTAGGTAGAAGCGCCCATTTTGACCACCTGATCAGACACTGATTGATGCTGGATCATTTCATCAATGAGAATCACTTTATTTCAAAGATTAACTGCTGGTTAGCAAAAGCTACTGTTGGCACTATCATTTAGACCTAAGAACTGCTTATAAAGTCCAAACAAACAGGCTCAAAATCTATTTCTTGTTTGTTTTTCACAATCTTGAATATTTAATTCATCTAATGTGTGAGTTTTACACATTTGTCTCTCTTGCAGTATCCAGTAATAACCTTTATTTGGAACTGCAACTGTTCCTGATTAAAGAAGCAGAGTTTTTTTTTTTTCACAGGTCCAGGGTTAGTAGACTGGGCTTTAGGTTTCTCAGCACCTTCTTAACCGTGTTGCCTCTGATTTACCCGTTTCTTGTTAAACCGTTTCCAGTAGTGGTACTACAGGATCGATGGATGGTGAGCGGGGCTTGAACCCGCTGCAAGGAGTCAGCTTGAGATCTAAATGGGTTGGCAAGATGCAAACAGTTTCAGATATTAAACTCTGTAGATTTTAGGTAAAAAACATTAGCTTGATAGGCAACCAGCAGCCTTAGAGTCATGATGGAGACTCCACTTTATCTCAGTTCCTGCCATTCTAGGCCTCACAAGTAAAAACTGATTAATTTATTGACTCAGATCGGAGCAGGGAGACTCTGATGAACTATTATATGATTTTTTTCTGGGTCACAAAACAGGTTGTAGTTCATTTATCCAAAGCTGATCTGATCTTTCATTTGCTTTGCAGGTTGAACAGAACTTTTGAGTTTAGAACCGCTACCGACAGCCTGTAGTGAGTCCTGGAGCACGGAGGCCACACACGGAGGCCCGACAGACCCGGGGCTGTTTTCCTGGCCTCCATGGACCCATGGGGGCCTCTGATTGGCCCGTTAAGGACCCGAGAAAACACACATCCCCCTAATTTATGAACACGGAAACAATTAGTGGCTATTATAGAGCATTATAGATAGCATCTAGAAAACTTCCCGTTGTTGACTAAACGTCTGCCCAAGCAGAAGCACACACACACACATGCACACAGAGGAAAAGAAAACAAAGATGCAAAGGATTTTGTTTGTTGATGTGGACTCAGCTGTTCTAAGTACAGTAACAGAGATTAGGTTATAAGAAGAAGGGGAATAAAACATGAAGGCAGCCTCTGAGTCTACTGGACCACCCAGAATCCGGCCAGAAGATGGGTCAGAGAATCTCTCCGTCCTAGACACTTGCTATGGTTGTGGATCAGCCCCCTGCCTCAGGGAACCCTTACAGTCACATAATGTCCTGGAGGGTTCTGCTGGGCTTTACAGTTTCTGTGAGATCCAAACAGGAAGGAACAACAGAGTTTGGACACATTGAGGATGATCCAACAAACAGCTTGATGCTGCTAGAGACAAATAACTGCAGACTTTTTGGTTGATTTTTCTGATCCACAGAGGCTCATATGTATCCATACCTCACTCGATTATGAGGTGACATCCGTTAGTTATCAGAACAACACCTCAGAACTGAAAGAAAGGAAAACAGGCAGGCCAGTTCTGGCTGACGTTTGGGCCCTCATTATGAATCAGTTGGCTTCTAACTGCAGATCCAAGTTTTAAATGTTAACAGGGTTGAGGTCAGAGCTTAGACAAACGAATCCACCAGCCTTCCTCTTTCTCTTCTCCTTGGGGGAGTGTTGGCCTAGTGGGTTAGAGCAGTGCACTTGTGCTCTGAGAAGGTTGCATGTACCTGCAATTGAACACCAAAGCCTGCACTCTGGGTTCCTGAGCAAAATCCTTAACCCCTGATTGCTCCCCGGGTGCCACACAATGGCAGCCCACTGCTCCCCAAGGGGATGGGTCAAATGCACAGAACTAATTTAGTCATTGTGGGACAATAATTTTTTTTAATTCCAGCTACTTTTTGTGCAATGAGGACCATCAGGGCTTCAGTAAGACATTCTGTATGGACAGAGAAGCTGGTGTTCCTGAATTGTTCCTTGACCTCTCACCAAAATCCATCTTCTCTTGGGTTAATGTTAGAATAGAATTCAACTTTATTGTCATTGCACTCTCCCAAGTACAAAGCAACGAAATGTGGTTTGGATCTATCCAGAAGTGCTATACATGATATACATATTATTACAGGTGTATGTACAAGCAGTGTTTGGATCTTTTTCCAGATTCCGGGGACCCGATGACATGATTGTGTTCATTGAAATTAATCTTTGACTCTGGAGGACCAAAGTTAAACCCAAGCATCTATAAAGTCCTGAATTTAGAATAAAAAATTAAAAGTTTCATTCACAGTGCCCACCTATCTAGGAACTCAAATCAGTAACAGAAACCTCACTGGTTCAAATACCAGCTCAGTCGTTGTGTCCTCTGGGGCCCGTTGGTCCCTTTACATCTATCATGCAGTGTGGGATTAATCTCCACTGTTATGCTGATGATACTCAGCTTTATTTCCCCATATATCCTGATCAATTTTAACTCCTGTCCAGTGTCAACTTTTAACATCGTACTATATGTTAAAGTCATTTAAAACTAATACGTGTTGAATTTCAACTATTTCAACTCTCTCATAGTGTTAGCTCTCTAATACTGTAATTTTAACTCCATCTAGTGTCAACCAAACATTTAAAGAGTTGAATTTACTCCTTCGGAGATAAGGGTTATGTTTGCAGTTGCTGTGTGTATGAATATATCTGGGCCTGGTTGGAGAAAAAAAAATAACTCGGCTTGCATAAATCATGGATGTGTTTATTTAAACCTTTGTGTCTGACTGCTCATGAGGAGAACCTAAACACGGTTCTTTGTAGCTCCAGAGGTAATCTGGTACCGGAACCCAGTGAGATGCCATACTGTAATAAACTCCTTTAGAGCTGGACTCTGTGGTCAGTGGCTTAGGTTGTGTCCTGGATTTACCTCAGTTTCTCTTCTCATCAGCTGTCCCTGCTAAAGTAACATTTCCCTGCAGCATGATGCTGCCACCACCATGCATCCCCATGGGGTGTAGGGTGATGAGCAGTCATAAAGGTCTCCAATTTGAATCTTTACCAAACCCTTTCATTTTGGTTTCTATCCGAGTAAATCTTCTAGAAAGGTTTGGTCCATGTCTTATAGACAGCGGCAAATGGTAGAGCTTCAGCATCACCAGTTGGATTCTCCAGCCGAGCTGTGGATCTCTGCATCTCCTCCAGAGTCACTGCGGCCCTCTTGATTTTTCTGATCAATGCTCTCCTGGTCCATGCTGTCGGTCTAGATAGACGTCCATGTCTTGGTAGGTCTACAGGTGCTCCATCGTGTCCATATTCAGATGGGTTGTTCTAGAACCTAAGCTGAACCAGAACTTCCTCCTTGAGCTGTGACTGAGTTTGTTGGACTAAATGATGCTGATTGAGCCCTAATGTTCTCTAACAAACCTCTCAGGCCAGAACCAAAACAGCTAGATTCTGATTAAGGGAATTCTTCAGCTGATTGGTGGACTTAATTTAGGGGGATTAATGTAAAAGGGGGTTGTATACAAATGTATGCCACACTTCTCAGATTTGTTTAAAAAAAAAAAAAAAGTAAAAAAAAAAAAAACGTTGAAAAATTGCACACTATCTCTGATCCACTTTGAGTTCTTCTATGACTTAAAATCCCAACAAAGGAGCCACAAGTTCAAGGGGTGTGAATACTTTAATGAGCCCTGCATGTTAAAATGAGCCTTTTAATGGTGTGTTTGAAGTCAGCAAGAGAAAACATCTGGAGATGAAAGATTTGTGCTACAGGAACCCTGCTCATGAAACAGGGGAGTCTTCAAACCCGGATCCTGTAGAGCAAGAGGGGTGGGGGGGCTGTAGGCGGCCGTGTTCAGCAGAGCTCAGAGAGTCGGTGGGCTGAGCAGAGCATGGTGGCTGAGCAGCACAGCAGGACACAGCGTTGCTGCCGGGCTTTGGACGGGACGGTCAGAGATGTTTGACAACTCTCACTACCCCTTCAACTGCTTCAACTATGATGGGGACGGATACCCGTCCTCTGGTTCTGAGGAGGAGAAAAAGATCTGCAGACCTGCTTACAGGTAGAGATTCATCTACTAATATAAAATCAATGGCTTTGCTTTATCCGTTTGTTGTTTTGCCCTTTTGAAAAAAAATAACTGCAGGAAACAGTTATCATCAATTAACATATATGTTTTCATGTTTTTCTTACATTTTCCTTTTAATAAAAAAAAGTAGTTATTGTTTAACTCAATTGCTGTTAGATCCATATTTATCTGTTTCAGAAGTTCTAGTTTCTTTTCTTACATTTTGGAAAAAGAATATTTTTCTGAATTAAAAACTGCACTAGGAATAAAGAAAACATTTTAATTAAGTGTATTTACCCTTGAAATAGGTAAATTAGATAGTTTGCCAAGGGATAAATAAGATAATTTGTTAATATGCACTTGAAATAAGGCAATGCAATTTCTTATTTTAAATCTAAATTGTTTTGCTCCATTGGCAAAGTGTGTCTTATATCTCCTCAATTCAAGAACAAATGCACTTAATTTAAGAAAAAAATTACTTGTCTGGATTTGGATTTTTTTCAGTGTAAACTATTTCTCTACAACACAGCTGAAATCAAAGGTGTTTTCTTACAGGTTATTAAATAATCCTCCTAAATTATAACAAAATGATTTAAAGCTAAATATTTTAATGAGAACTGGATTTCTACAGAGAAATCAATCATAAGTTTTTATTAAAAAAATAAATTTTAGAATAAAATATCACTGAAATAACTCTGAATTAATTTAAATAATTTTATCTGCAAAAAACGCTTTTCTTAGATCAATGAATATGTGAATAAAAAGGATAGGAGACCTTAAATTGGTGAAAAAGAAAATGAAATAATCAGTTTTTTTTATTTACATTCATGAATAAAACCAAATTATTCATTTAATTTACAAAATGATTTAACTCATTTATAATCAGTGGAAAACTCTTTCATAAAGGCTTTCCTTTAATAACGGAGCTACTCTCTGCATGTCTCCTCTGGTGTTCTGATCTTTGGTAATGAAATTAAATTTAGATTTTCTATCAGAAACAGCTTAGAATTCAGGCTGGAACATTAGTCTAAAACATTAAAGCAGAAAAAAGCATTTTGACAGATCAATTAAAATTAGAATCAACCAGAAGTATCAGTAATTATAAGATAAGATATATGTAGTTATGCTTTTCTAAAACAGAGAAAAAATATTTGCATTAAAGCAATTAGGCCTAAACGGCTCGGAACAAGGGTTTTTTTCTGTACCAGCTGATCCAAAAGTTGGTGTCTGTGTGTGCCAGCTACATCGCTCTGATTGCCATGGCGATCCAGCAGAACCCGGAGCAGCGGGTCACCCTGTCTGGAATCTATGAGTTCATCATGAAGCGGTTCCCCTACTACCGGTCCAACCAGAGAGCCTGGCAGAACTCCATCAGACACAACCTGTCCCTCAACAGCTGCTTCATCAAGGTAGACACCTGCTGTATTTATTCCACTGTGGTTCTGTCTGGCTCGGGCTGATTTCGGTTCTGTTTGAGGTCCAAAATGCCAGTTCTGATTGTGACATTGGGCTCTTTCTCCCTGCAGACATTCAAGTTTGAAATTACAAAACGTGAAGAAATTTGTTTTTTCTCCTAAATAAACTCATTAGTTTCCATATCGGTTTGATCTGGTTAAAGACAGTAAAGCTCAGAATTTAATTTTTTTTAGATTAATATGATCATAGAGCAAAATGCTTTAATGCATCTTACAAATATTACTATAATGTTTTTTTTTTCCTTTTCCTTTTTATTCAGAACCTCTGATCAAACCCAATCTGCTATTTAAAACAATCCCTAATTAGAACAGAACCCAGATCAGAACCAATTTATAATTAGAGTGCATCTCTTCTCAATACTTCATAAGGCCAGAAACAGAACTTTGTTTACATCAGGACTTTCAGCTCACAGCTGTCTCTGTAAAACAGGTTCCACGGACAGAAGGGAACGAGAAAGGAAAAGGAAATTTCTGGACCTTTGCTGCAGGTTGTGAATCCATGCTGGACCTGTTTGAAAACGGAAACTTCCGCCGCCGCAGGCGCAGGAGGAACATGAAGATAGGTCTCCAGGATTCAGCAGAGACCTCCTTCCATCCAGTGGAGAGCCACAGCAGCAAGCGGGGACCGGCGTCTCGGCACCCTGAGCTAGACTCTGCCATCTGCCATCTGAAGCCTGGAAGGCCGAGGTCCGATCCCCAACAGAACCACCTCATCCCGACCTCAAACCAGCAGGGAAAACCCGAGTCAGAGATCAAGTTCAGCATCGACTACATCCTGTCCTCTCCAGATCCTCCACAGCCTGGGTTCAGATCTCCTCATGGCCCGATACATTTGGTCCCACCGGCGCCACCTGCTCATGTTCTGGACCAACAACACCTGAACCTGCACTTCTGGACTCTTTAAGAGGACAAATAACAAAAGACACCTTTCCTCCTGACAACAAGAACTCTGTTTAAACATGTTCAACAGGAGACAAAGAGGTTCCACTGGATGTTTCACAGGACCTGAGAAATGAAAAGTGAAAGATCAACTTTAACCAAAAGATTAAACTCAGCGAAGAGTCTCTGTGTCGTTCTGCCGTTCGTATCGTAATTTGTGCTGACAGTCAATATTTGAAATATATTCCACAAGCATTAGAAGAGAACCTGTGAGTCTAACTGTGATGTGATCGTATGATATGTCAGAAGAATCGGCTTAATTCAGAGCAGAAAATACCTCAAACAAAGACCTGATCTTAAAGAATATTGGATTTCAATTTCTGTTCTCTATAAAAGAATTTAAAGAAAAGATTTTTATATTCCAATCAAACCAGTCATCTGCATCAGTCAGCAGGATTTGAACCCAGGACCTTGCAGCCTCTAAACCTTAATTACCAGTCCCCCATATTGATTTATGCTAACTTAACCTGCTGCTCGTTAAGTACCTCATACTTATGGAAGCCTGTTTCTGCCATACGAAAATAAAAAAATGCCAAACAATTATAAGATTCAAATTAAAACATTTTGAGTTTAAACTTCATAATTATGAGTTACAAAGTCAGAATTTCGACTTTTAATGTAATAATTATGAGATACAAAGTTTAAAGGTCAAATATCTCATAAATATAGAATAGAAAATCCCTTTATTGTCCCACAATGGGGAAATTCTGGTGTTTAAAGCAGCAAAAAGATTATAGAAAAAATGGTCGCACAAATGTGGACCTTAGAAAAAATGTATAAGAATAACATAATAGTGAAGAGTTAAAAGATAAACAATAAAACACTGTACTGTAAAGTGTGTTAACAATATAAAACTGTGCACCTGGAGAATAAATAACCAATATACAGCTATGGAGATTTTTATAGTAATGGATATTTGAAAAAAGGAGTACCACCAGAGATGTGCAAAATGACATCAGCATGTTATTTAACTGACTAAGATAGAAACTGTTAAAAATCAGCACGAATGTAGCAATTTGTTAAGGCTTTTGGGAACAGTGGTGGTTATTACAGCCACTGGTCTTAAAGCTGCTGGGAGGAAGAATCTGTGATAACGCTCCCTGGTGCATTTAGGGTGCAGCAGTCTGTCACTGAAGGAGCTCTCCAGTTCTGGAAAAGCTTCATGCATGGGGTGGATATGTTCATTTAGTTAGGATACTTTTGTTTCCCATCTCCTGCACTGACTCCAGAGGGCATCTAATCAGTGCGGGATTATGACTTTAAAACTCGAAATTATAACTATTTGGCTTTCTTTTTTTTACTTTCATGTGACAGAAACGGGCTTCCATACAAATTATACCAACTATGTCTAAAATGGGTCTAATTTTTAAGAAAATATAAGTAAATAAACGTTTTTTTTTGGATTTTAAAATTCTGAATTTAATAGAAATATTAAAAAAATGAAGCAGTTCCTCCATTAAATAAGACACACATATCCACTATTCCTATTTCTCTACAGTTAACATTTCCTGTCAATAGAAGCAGAACTTACGGCAGAAAATATAAAGTCCCCAGAGATATAAAGTGTTTATTTGAACTCCAATTCAAGGTGGAATTATCCCCACTTAATGAAGATTAACTCCTCTTTTCTACATCCTATGTAGGCCAAAATATTTTAAATTTAATCAAAACTATAGCTATTGATAAAAAGCTGGAAATTGTACAACAATCAGACTTTATCATTTTGCTCTGTTTTTAGGATCCATTACTGTTACCAAGATTTTATCTTAGATTCATAGACCATTAAGATAACTAAAATAAATAAAACAATGAATAGCTATAAATTACCGAATTTTTGCAGGGTTTAACCAAGGGTCAAAGATATTTGATTCTTCATGTAGAAAATCATATCACGTGTGTCATCTTTAGAAGTCATTACATGATAGCTACCTCTGAATGTTTTGGGTCTTTCCAGGTTCTCCTGACTGTTTCTGCCGGTTTGGTTCATATTCTAACAGATTGAATTGTTTTAAGTGAATAAGAGAGGGAAAGAGAACTGTAGAGCTGGCGGGATGACACCCACTGTTTTGTTTTTATCTCCCAAGATGCTCTTTGTTGATTAGACAGCAGCTGTATTACTAAAACCGAGCTTCAGGTGTGTGACCCTGTGGATGAGGTGGTTTCCTGCAGAATCCCCTTATCTGCAGCTACCGAGATCTTTCACCTTAACAAAGGGATCCAGCAGTTTAACGTTTCCGCCCCACATTTAGCTAATTTTTCATTGACCTTTGGGAAGCCTGACTGACTGACACTTAAATCGTGATTCAGTCATTCTTTATTGCAGGAGGAGGCCTGTGGAAACACCAGTCTGGGAAACATTGCTTTTGCTGCACAGGGGAGATCAATCATCTCATGTTGGCTTGCTGTTTGAAGGGACATTTTTCAATTTAACCTTTATATTATGTCTTGACTACATAAGAGGAGGGCTTCCGCACATTTAACATGAGTGGCATTTAATATAGCATAACACTTGCAAGGTGAGGCCCAGAAGTGACCCTATTTAAATACCAAGGCCCGCTCCCCGAGCATATACAGCAGCCCCTCCCCCCGACGACACCCTCACCGCCCTGACGCAGGTATAATTAAACACTCCATATGCCTCCTTTGCAAATCTGCAGGTTTTCAACATTCACGTGTGAACTGGCCCCCAGCGAAGCGTTTATGGATCAGCAAGTTTCCATTAACAAAGTTGTTGATGTTGAGGAGCACGAGGCTTGCTGCAACTATGACGCCGTGGATATATTTGGGTAAATTAACTTAGCATAAAGTGCTCCAAGGCTACAGGAGTCTTTGGAGGCGGTTAAACAAAAAGTGGTGCGGCAGCCAGGCCGCAAAAAGTCAATGCACATTTTAGACTGAGCGAAGACGTGAGTGTTGCTGCTGGCAGTGTGTCCGAATGGCTCCCCCTCTATTAAACAACTGTTGGAAATCCACCTGCTTGGTGTTGTTCCTCTTTCCTTCCTTCCTTTCTTTCCTGATTACTTCCACAAAATTTCTCATCTATCTCAGCGCGAGCTGCTCTTTTGTCTGAGAGCTCATTACGTTCACAGCCGCCTGCTAAATTAGCAGCTGACGGCAAAAAACAGTTGAATTAAAGGTACAGGAAATTGGGAAACTGCTGATGTGCAACGTTAATAACAAGTAAATAATAATAAACACAAAGAGGTCATTTAATCTGCAATGTTTGTTTTTTTCGGGTTGGATGTGGTGGAGAAAAAAAAAAAAGATGGGAAATCAGATAAATATTTGTATACAGGCGCATCAGTTTAATAGTTTCTCCACTTTAAACAGAAGAATAAAGGTTGGAAAAGATTAGCCTCCAGATAATTAAGAAGTGGAAAATAGCCTGAGGTCTTCCAAACGGATCTCTGGCCTTTGAAAAGCCCTGCGTGTGTAATTCAATCTGGAATATGCTCTGACGTTTATATGGCTCAGAGTGGGAAGGTGTCAGTAATAAGAAAATCTCTACAGCGTGTCGGGAGACATGTTCATGCTTCACCTATTAGAGGTCCCTGCTGGGGATCACCAGGAGAGCTTTTATTTTGAAAAGGCAATGAAAAACAGTTTTCCAAAGACAAATAGTTAGAGGTTGGACCAGTGGCGGTTCTAGACTAAATTTACAAGGGGGACCCAGGATGTTTTTTTTTAATGGGGGAAAAGAAAAGCATGAATTTGTCATTTAAAACAGGGGTCTTCAACGTTTTCCAGGCCAAGGACTCCCAAACTGATGGCGAGATGGAGCGGGGACCCAGTAATTATATATATTGCATGAAATTGTGTTATATCAAACTGGTCCTATAGTCACTCTACTACAGATGGAGCAAAGTAACAAAAGTAATTTCTCCCTGGGATTATTAAAGTATTTCTGATTCTGATTCATCGTTGATGGGACAGGTGTTGTGAATGAAACGGTGCCCAGCTTGAAAGAGCTCCTGTGTGACGCTGAATGTGTGCATTGATGACTGAAAGACATCTTCTGCCTCCATTTATCTGTTTACTACAGTGTGTTTAATTTATGTTAATGTGTATTTGAACTTTTATTTTCTAAACTATATTTGAATCTGAAGAGGCCACGGCGCAGCGCTATGACATAACCGGCCGAAGAATCTGGCCTTCAGAAGACGCAGCAACTGGATCCAATTCTGAGGTCCAGATCAAGACCAACACCATATTAGGTCTTGGTCTCAGTCTCAGTACTCCTTGGTCTGGCCTTTAAATCAACACAAATTTTTGGCTTAAAAAAAAAAAAAGTTTAGTTCACTTTTCCTTAAATTAAAAATCTACAATTTGGGAAAAAAGTAATAGAAATATTTAGTTGCTAAATACAAATCTACCAAATGATCAAATAAAGGTATTTTTTTGGAATATCAGGACAATCTAAATTCACAATTCAGGAATATTACATAGTATTTACCTCATCTTAAATGAAAATGACCAGTTTTAACCGATTTATAAGCAAAACTTAATTGAAACTGAACACTTCTGCTGTAATATAGTATATATTTTAAAAAAATGTTTTAAAATAAAATCTACCAAGGGAAAACTGTGATCCTATCTCAGTACGACCGATTCTATCACCGTAATTTGTTTATCATAAATAAAATAGAATTGTAAAATAATAAATGGGTCCAGGGGACTTCTCAGTCACTATGACCGTTCCAACGCAGATCATAATCAGAATTTTTTTGGGGGGGATTTATGTTGTCAATACAGGGGCTAGGACCAGTTCTACAGGGACACCATAAGATAGACCTAATCTAATGTTCAGAAATGATTTTTAATCCAATGGGCATCATTGTTCCAAATAAGCAACAAAGCCTTTGTATTACATACACAGTAAAGATAGCATGTTCATTCCCACGGTGCCAGCTTTTACATTCAGTGTGGACCCAGGAACTGTTGCAACTGGTTCCTGACAGTGTATGTATCATCACCAAATTTGTTTTAGAATTAAAATAAATAGAAAGTTAAAAAATGTCAATTTGGCGAAAGTCTATATATATATATATATATATATATATATATATATATATATATATATATATATATATATATACACACACACTTTTTTTTTTTTTTTTTACACACACACACACACACACACACACACACACACACACACACACACACACACACACACACACATACCTTTAGGCATCAAAGGGTTAAATGGTTTAAGAATTCCCAGCTTGGTGTGAAATTGGTTATGCCTAAAATCTTTAAGCATACTTGAAACACAAAAACTAGTTAAACAATCTTATTTTCCAAATTTTTACACGGTAAAAAACTGGTTTAAAATAAAAATCACACTTTGATTAACAATTTTCATATTTTATATAGCATCCAAAATCCAATTTGTAGATGTGATGCTGCGGGCTGCGTATCCGTTCCGAAGCTTCTGTGATGCTTTAGACGGTTTGGCTTAATGATGACCAAATGGGGATCTCCTTTCTGTTCATCCGAAGGGAAACCACTTAGAACCTCTGGTTCTGTTATACCGCTGTAGCTCTCAGTTACATGTTCATCTTTCATAATAACTTCTGAAATTAATCAGTTTACAGAAAATAAACGGCAAGCATTTAAAAATCTGAGTTGTGATCAGATTGATTGGCTGTTAAGGTTTGGTAGCTTTACTGTGTTAATCAGTCCCTAGTTCTCATAGAGACTGACTTATTAATAGAAAATTGCAATAATCTCCAACAGAAAGAATCCAGAGGTTTAAGCCAGACAAACCAAATAGCATTTTTGTTGTGTTTTTATAGACTTATAGAAACCAAACCACATCCTTAGAAGAATGAAAGCTGGGTTTAGATCTCATAAATGTTCTCCGCTCTCACCGACCGTCTAGAACGAGTTATGATAAATCTGTTTCTAAGGCTTCAGGGATCAGAAGACCAGAGGCAGAACCCTTATCGACCAAGGAGAGGTGGTTCTCCATTGTTCCAAAACATCCATGCTGGATTTAAGATCAGCAAAAATGAACCCTACAGTGGAATTTTCTGACAGCCTTTATTGGGTTCGCGAATTTTGCTGCCATAAAGTCATTTGTGCAAAAGGAGAAAAGTCTCATTTCTCTCTTTCTGTGGAATGATAGAGGGGAAACAGGCACACTGGTTCAAAGGATCTTGCCAGTATTAAGTGGGTTTAGATCATACTAGTGTTCCTATGATGATTGAAGCAGGTTCCAATACTTTTGGCAGAGTGAGTCAGTAAAAAGTCCAGCTGGAAAATAAATTCATCTTCATAACATTAATCACCCAAATCAAGCACTAAGTGGTCAAACATTCTGCTGGATGGCTGCTCCTACGTAAATCAAAGAGGACCAATACTAGCAGATGACGTAGGCTCTTACACAATCAGACTTTTGACCATAAAAGTCCAGCTGTATTTTCTCTGTAGCCAAGGTTAGATGCATCTAAGGGACAGACCGTTCTGGTCCTCATTTGGAAACGTCTCAAACCTCCAACTCCTTCAGGTTTTGCTTCTAATTTTTCCTCAAAGACGTAGTAACTCCTGTTGATCAGGCACATTTATCCGTTTTTTCTTTCCACTCAATTTTACTCAGAACATGTCCTTCAGTCTCCTTCGTTAGCCAATATCTACTGAGGCGTAGCCTCCAGGTGGAGGAACTGTGATCGTCTCACAGAGCTGATTTTATATTCTGCACTCAACATCTCTGCTTATAACCTGAAAAGAAAAAAACAACAGACTGGCAACTCCATGAAAATACTTATGAATATAGAGCGATTACATTGTTTGTCATTTATATTTAAATACTTCATCTATAATTTTAAAATTATTTTCATTCTTTATGGATTTTTTTTCATAATTTAATAGTATATTTAATATTCAAATCACACATTAAAAAAATGTTACACCCACTTCATACTACATTTATTTACACCTATGCATTTGATATTTTAACCCTCATATTGCACCCTCCCACTTTGAGAACTCCATTATCCATTTAACAGATTCAGAATCTTTGGAATCCATAAAAATAAAGATTTCCAAACATCGGTTGAAATTTTAAATGATCTATAAATTAATCTACAACTGTATAAATTCCTCTAAAACACTTAAGGATTAAGATGCACCTTCTTGTGATTTAGTAGCATAAGGTTAATAAGTCATAGTCCACTTGTCGGAGGAATAAAAACTTTCAGCATGGGTAGATCACACATTGCTAACTTTATTTAGACTTCATGCATAATCAACCAACACAAAGAAAAGATGAAGCGACCCAGAAATGCAGCACAGCCTCCCTTTAGGACTCCACAGACACACCGATCTGATCAATAGTTTAAATAGAGCTTCATTCAAATCAAACTTCTTTTCCACCCAACGGAATGGAGAAGTCTTTGCAACACAAAACACACGACTAACACCGAAAAAACAGGAAATTAGAAGGAAATCTCTTTAAAATGTGCAACGTTCATGTTTGTCCAGATGAGGTTAGTGTTCTGGTCAGATGAGAAAATATCCATCCTTCATAAGATCATTCCCTCCAACAGAGAACAACGAGAAGCTAAAGCAGCAGCAGCGTGGAAACGTCTCAGCAGCAGAAACAGAAGCTAATAACATTAAAGCTAATGCGTAGTGATGGTTTGCTCGTTTTCCCTTTTCTAATAAAAACATTTTTAAATACTGATCACAAAAAAAGATAAATTACTACAGCACAGCGCGGTCAAAGTGAACGCTTGTATGAAAGCGTGTCGCCAGGCCGTAAAACGGCGTCTGTGATCAAAATGTCTCGTTTGTGGCGCCTTTTTTTTTTTTTTTTTTGCTGTGGAGCTCATTTCAGAAAACAAATGTCATGTTGAAAGGTCAGGCCTCTAAAGATGTAAGCAAATCAGAATAATTATGTGCAAACTGCATCTGAGGAAGAGAGATGTTGAAATCTTACATCACAGAGTCACTAAATCAGGAATAATCTCAACAGGAAGGACATAAAACACTTGGTCCTCAGCAGGATTTTAGGACAAAACGGAGAGCCGGCCCAAGGTGTGAGTGAATGTTTTAGCTGCTTCGAGTCGCTTTGTTTTAACAGTCAGGTTTTAGAGCTTGGCCATGTTTTCACATCGAGTCTTTCCATGCTCCATGTTAATGCTGATTACTAAGTGTTCCCTTTGCTCTGGTGAAAACAGAAAACTAGCCTCTGTTTTCTAAATATTCCACTTCATCGGATGAATTACGCTCTAATAGAACCCAAAGTGAAACCCAGGGATGAGTGGAACCTTGGGTCGGCTCTGCCTGCGTGTAGAGGAACGCCAGACAGTGAGTTTGCTCGTTCAGCATCGTTTGAATACAGCAGCTTTAGGTGTGGTCGGAGAACCAACCACTGCTCCCAGTTTGGGACCAAAACACAACCAGGCAGATCATCATTTCTGCAACCACTACAAACTTCTTCCCTTTTCTTTTTTTTTTTTTCCTCAGACTATCATGGAGATATTAAACATATCTGATAAGAACATAAACTCTTTCCAAAAACAAAAGAACAGATCTACATTAAATTACCATCTCTTCCATATAAGGAGTTTAAATATACACCAAACATCTGCCATTTACAGATTTACAAATCAACTTAGACTTGTTTGCAGAGACTGAAAGCAACACTAAAACATAATGTGCAGGTTCCCCTGATGAGGAGCGCAGTCTGCACTGGTCAGCTATAATTAAACCAAACACTGACTGGAGGAATCTAAAAAGAAATGTCCTGCATAACTAATATAAGGGATCCTGTTTAAGTTTTAGTGAAACTAAAAAGCATTAGCTGCAGTCCACAGCGGGCCTAAAAGGAAACTATCCAGGAAGCAGCAGCCCCAGCGTCTCTGAAACTAATCGGCAAGCGGATGGGAGCCATCACCTGCTCGCCGGTTCTGTTTGATTTAGCCTTTCTCATGTGCCAATGTAGTGCTATGATGGGTCGGGGGACAGGTCCAATTTCAGGCGTTGCTGTTCAGGGTCTGGGGGGAGGGGCAAAGGTTGACGGTCTACATGGCAAACAGAGCACCTTCCGGTCTCTCCTGCTTCTTCCTGCTGGGTGTGCCCTGCGCTGCGCCGGGGTTGCTGCCAGGGGGCGATGGTACGCCGGGGGTCATCTCAGCAGCTTTGGCCCTCTCCTCAAGGAATTTGTCAAACTCTGGATGGATGATAACATTTCAATTCAATTCAGTTTTTATATATAGCGCCAAATCACAACACGTCATTTCAAAGCAATGTACAATTCAACCAGATAATAGAGTCACATAGATTCAAAGTTTTCCATCTAAGGAAACCAGTTTGCTTCATTGACTCAAAGACAATCCCTCACACCAAATTAAACAGATCTAGAGAACATAAGAGGGAAAAAAAAAACAAAACAAAAAAAAACTAGTTTGGGTTTTCTTACCTTCGCTAGTGACGCCTTCCTCACCTTCATCTCCTTTCTGTAAGAGAAGAAGCCACAACAGAAACATAAGCTCCAGAGGCCGACCCTTCAGACCAAAACTCGGCCTAAATAAGGCTTTCTGCTGCCCTCAGACGACATCTAACCCACCAGGCTGAAGAACATTTCCCCTATATTCGAGTTAGGATGCTACCTTTGGGGGGAGTTTGCCATCCAGATGTTAGATACCACCACTATGACCCCAGAATCTCCCTGATCTACGCAGCAACACTTTCAAAACAATCAAAATCCAGACATTGTAGAGTGGAAGGTAAATAAAAACCCAGCTCTTAAAACCTTTACTAATAAAAATCTGAAAAGTGTGGAGTGCACTCTTTTTTTTCTTTTTTGTTTAGCCCATGTAAATCTGTCTTCTAAATTTAGGCCTTTGAAAGCCACAAAAGTAGGGAATACACTGCAGCTGTAGGTAATTTAAAGAGCAAATTGCAGGTTAAAATTCTTAAAAGAAAAAAAAATGCAAACTGTCTTCCAATGGATCATATCTGAAAAGTTGAATTAGGATTTTAAGCTGGTGAAAATTCTCAGTCATCCAGGTCAGTCATTCCAAAAAAGTAAAAAAAATAATAATTTTTTTTTGCTTTTTTGGATTGAATTTAGGATTAAGTGTTTTGGTCGCCATAATGAAGCCAATTTACCAATAAAAGCGACAGTCCCCCTAAACACTGCTTTTTTTTTTTTTAAACAAGCGCGTCATTTGACGTCACATCAGAGAGTCAAATAAGGTAGAGCGAACGTATAACTGAGTTTTGTAGAAGATTGCATTCATCGATCATAAACATGGTCAAATACTATGTTTTCAGGGCTACACAAACTGTACTTAAAGGAATAGTACACCCAAAACATGATTAGCCTTCATTTTCTACTCACCCTCATGCTGAACAACACTCTGGAGTACTTTTTTGATATCTCAAATGCATCTGGAGATCTGGGAGGCTTCTTGCTGTCTGCTGACATTCAAATAATGGAGGTCTATTGTGCCCGAGACAGAAAGGTCCATAAAAGTCCACAAAAATGTGTCAATATTCCTCCATACTGCTCGTCCAATGTATTCCAAGTATCCTGAGTGGGTAGCATCCAGAATTTACTCGAAACGAAGTCATTTAGAATGTTTTTAGAGCATAAACAGTAGTGTATAGTATTTCCTAAAAGCGCGTTCACGAGTCTACGGAAACCGCGGCAGACCAAACCAGATGAAAGTGCACATTCAGCTCGGCAAAGAACTCATGCTCTTCCTCAACACTGAAGTCCTCAGACATTTTTCTTTCGTTGTTTCTTTCTTTGCACAGGTAAACAGCACATTTCTTCTTCTACGCTTGCATTATCGGCAGAGCAGACGCTGAATGCGCACTTTCATCTGGTTTGGTCTGCCGGCTTCCGTAGCGTCCTGAACGCGCTGGCACGCGCTTTCAGGAAGTCCTATACACTACTGTAGAAAATGAAGGCTAATCATGTTTTGGGTGTACTATTCCTTTAATGATGCTGAAATGAATGGAACAGATCCTCAGAGAGAATGAGATAACGTCTGTGCAAAATCCACCAGAATGACGTCTGGTTTAGAAAAATGGCACGATGCCGCTGGACTAAACCACCGCAGCGAAATTGCCTCTGAGGACAAGATGTGATCCTATGACTGTCGGCGATTAGATCACCTTTCCAAAACAGCAACGAGTTAATTCTCCACCTCTCTGCGGCAACAGGGTTGTGGCCAATCATATGTGTACACTGGAAGAACGATCTAGAAATAAGTAAAAATTTCTTAAATTAAGTTTAATTTCCCCTTAATTTGTGTAGGTAAACGAGATTATATTTATATGTATTTTTACTCTTAGAATAAGATAATTAGATAATATGCACTTGAAATAAGACAATGCAAATAATTTTTCACATTTTAAGTGTAAATTGTCTTGTTCCATTGGCAAGATGTCTCTTTCACCTCCTCAATCCAAGAACAAATGCACTTATTAAGAAAAAATGACTTATCTAGATTTTGTTTTTTTCCAGTGTAGTTCTAAACATTTAAAGCCTCTTTGTTGTCTGAATTAGCATCGGTATCCACTGTTTAGTGCTATAAAGCCAAGTGGACTCACTTCACTCCAGTGCCCCATTTTACCATAGATACAAAAGTAACATTTTCCTCACAAAAAAAAAAAAAAAAAAAAAAAATCAAATAGATCATATACAAGTATATCAAGATTAAAAACCAATTCCAATTTTTAATTTTTTTATTAACATTGATAAAAGTGGGGATCCAATCTGCAATCTCAGACAGAATCATTAAAGACCAAAGGGAACCCAATGCATGATGGTGGTAGCATAATGCTGTGGGTCAAAAATGTTCTAACAAACCACCACTATATGTGGAAATCTAGAAGAAATACACTCCTGTACGGCTCTACATATTTAGAGCCAGTATGGCTCTAAAATAAATGATAAACATAAAGCCCTGCCACACTTTCCAGATTTCCAAAAGGAAAAGCCATTTCACCCCCAGATAGAACAATAAATTCCGATAAGGTTTTTGTGATGCAATGAGATGAAATGTAGAAAACAAAACAGCAATAGTGATTACTTCAGAGCTACACATGCGCCGATGCATTTATTTTGTACAAAACACGTCTCCGTCCAGGGAAGTATAGCAACATTAGTATCGAATCACCAAGAGCTCCTGTTGATCGTGTTTTATCCAACAATCATTTTATCCACCAACACTAGTAGTAAACATTTAGTGAGTGAAGGAATCAGAAGGTGATTTATCGCACTCTAAGGAAAGAAGACATTTTGCTTTCAGGCTGATAAAAGAAATTCAATAGATGAAAGAAAAGAAAAGAAGCAGAAATCAAAGTAATGATCTGGCTCACCACATCAGTACTCAGCCACTCCTCTATGTCATCCATGACAGAGGACTGAGGTCCCGGACCCTAGGGGGCAGAGTGGAGGGCCGGAGGTGGCCGCAAAACAAAAACAAAAATAAACAAAACATCCCAAACAGAAAAAAAAAAAAATGATGTAAAATAAACTTCACTGGCAACTTAAAGCTATTTGACAAATTCAAACACAATATAAACATGTTATGGAGGATGGCGACCAGTCAGGTGAAGCAGATGATCTCATTTCATTCAGTGACCGGCTCATGGTTTCAAACATATGAAAGTAGTTTTCCACAGCTTACTGAGCATATTTGGATACAAAATTCCTACAAGTAGCAGGGGGGTGTGTCTGGGTGAACTGGGCCAAACAGAGATCACAACCAGTGGGAAATATTTAAGTGTTTATCCGGATGACAAAACATGATAAAAATACTGAATAAGCAAGACTTTCATTCCAATGGATTCAAATAATACACCTACTGGTATCAAAATAAGGTAGTGGCTGGGTTTGAAACTGGGTCAAATAAACAGATTGACCCAGGAACAACAGGTCAGTAACATCAATGAGCAGACAGAGCCAGCTTTAGAGATGAGAACACTAAAATTACCTTTTCATGGTACATTACAGCAGTTTTAATGGTACAGGCAGCATCTGGTCATAAATGTTAGGATAATGAACAGAACTCACCCCTCCTGCAGTCGGCTGCTGGACGTCCAGAGTGGGAGGAGGACCGTCGGCTGCAGGGTTCTGTGCTGAAGAACTGAGCAGAACACAGAAGTTAAATAACAGCAGCAGCTTTCTGCTGCACCCAAAGGGACCAAAAACCCCAGAACTTCCTTCATTTAATTAGATCTTACGTTCTGTGTGGTTCTGTCAGAGCTCCACTCCTGGTTTGAGCAAACGTATCAAAGTCGTCCTGTGGAGGCGGAGGCTTACAGCTGCTGAGAGCGCTCAGGGTGCTGCTCACGCTGTCTGCACCCAGATCTAAAGGGGAGACCAAGAAAAAACAAAAGTCAGATTTTACAGGAACAGCAATCTGGATCTGCTGCAGGCTTTCCAGAAAATAATCAACCTTCTTTAAAAACCTTTATAAAAAAAAACAAAAAAACACTTTAAATAATCATTTAACACCAAGAAGGTTTGTTCCTTTATGCCTTATTAAAGAGACGGGATCAACCCCGCTGCTTCTCCCTTGTGGTTACACCTGGGAACAACACCAGCTTTCTCCTTCAATAAGCTTCTACTTGATTAAGTACTACAGCACTAGTCTAAACAAACATGTTACTGCAGCTTTAAATGTGGATAAGGCCTAAGATGAGCTTGCTTGGATACCTAAACCAGCCAGACGGGAGGCTAAGGTGGCCGGGGAGGAGGGTCCTCCTGTCAGGGTAGGGGGCAAGTTGGTTGGAGCTGCGTTCGGCATGTTGCTGACCACCGCAGGGGAGCCTGGACCGAGATCAATCAGGTTGTCCTCTGTGGCTTCGCTGAGGACCTGATCAACAAGGAATCAGCAGCATTTAAAGCTCACATTTAATGTTGGAAGAAAAGGTCTGAGAAGTTAGGAGTGATTCACATTTAAAAAAAAGCAGGCAGAGCAGGTTTAAAACTTAGGGGTCAACTTAAGGAAGGTATGAAAATGTGTCTGAAGGTCACGGGAAGAACTTCACAGAAAGCTGGTTCTTAAGGGGGGAGGAGGTTGTAAAGGGAAATTATTCTTAGAAACACACAGAGGTTCTAAAGGAGCGTAATAAACATAAATCCCCCTAAGAAGAGCTCAGAAAAAAACAACAGAACCGTGCTTTTACTTTGGTGCTATGCTGCTAAAATCTGCTTCCTGTTCAAGTTAATAGGGACTGCAGGGTGAAAACAAGCTGCATGGCAGTAGCTCCCAATCTGATAAGGAGAGCAAAGATAGATTAGGAGGAACTCTGGCTACACCTTCAGCTCCAGCAGCCTTCTTATCTGATTGGTGTAGCACAACAATAAACATTTATAATGATGTAATAACTGCAGGCGATGATGTAACAGGACGACTTTTGATGCAGGTAGTATAAGAAATATTTATTACACTAAATCTTTAAAAGGTTGTTTATCATTTATTAAAAATTCATATGGGGACAACAAAAAAAAAGGCTCAACCAGACAGGTTTGAGAACCACTGCCAAAGGGAATAAAGGTACTGAGTGAAGAATAAGCCTGGATCTTAGCAATCTCTCTATTCTGAGGTGATGCTGCTCATTAAAGATGACATGTTCTCCATACTTGCCTTCCTCAGCTAGCCCCAGAAACAGAAGTACATGGACAGAGAGGAAAGACAGTGAATACTATTAGCATGCCAGTACAGAGACAACATAATGACAGGAAGTATGCAGGATGAGCCATGCTTAGGACCGGGGACCCCAGAATGATGCAGCTAAATGGACGTCTCCCTACTGCCTGATTGAAGGTTAAAAACCAAAGAGTTTTACTGTTATTAGCAGGAAGAACCAGGATATAAACCATGGCTGGCAGTAAACACTTTCAACAGTTTGCATCATTATCATTTAAAACACACCAAAAAAAGGTGCATTAGTGGAAAATGAAAGAAACTTTATAGAGTTTAAGATTTTTAAAAGAGGTTAAAAAAAACCCTTTAAACTTTTGTTTATTATTTGCCTACTTTTCAATTATGCTTTTCATAGAAAAAAAAAAAAAAAAACTTTAAATGAAATCAGTGACACAGTGCAAGGGAAATAAAAAATAAAATAAAAAAATAGACGCCCAGTAAGTAAATACAGGCAGCATGTGTAGCAGAATCTCAGTTTAAATAAAGCATTGGGAAACAGGGTGGGAATTATTTTGAAAAGCACCGCAGAGCAGAGGCCATTTTTACAAAAAACTGCTAATGTCTTGGTTTAACAAAGAAATTTAGAAATAAACCAGCATGTAAATAACTGGTTAAAAAAATATTTAAAGACACATCTTTAATAAACCTGCTAGATTAAAATATACATAACCATTTATTTTATTTTGTACTTTTAAAAGTGTTTCAATGTGATAGTCTGGTTCTGGGTATTAAACAGTGACTCCCTTTCTTCTTCTGACTGGAGAGTTTTGGGTCTAGAAGGAACCATAGCAGTCAATTTCCTTTGCTTTGGTCAGAGCGACGCCCCCTGCTGGGGAGACGCTGCCTTGAGCTGATCTCTAGAAATCTACAGCTTTTAAGACATGGATTGCTCTGAGCTGCCTGGGTCTCAGGTTAGCATGTGCATCAGACACTCAGAGGTTTACTGATGGTTGTTGGTGTCACGACCAGACATGAAAGATGATGGATGTGAAGAAGACGACGGTGAAGCTAATAAGTCAGATCTTTAATCTGTTTAAATGAGACTCACCCCGTTGTTGACGGTCTGAGCTGTGGACCTCCCGGAGCGAAAGCGCTCATACCTAAAGCAACAAGAAGGTTGAATGAAGACAAACTGGGATCAACTCAAAGCTGAATCAGCGATTAAACTAATAATAATTCAGAGTTCTGAAGAGATTATCAAAACTCATCATAGACCAGGAAGAGAAAATAACAGCATTTACTACAGATATTGGCTTAATTCAGCATTTTATAACCATCTCAAACATTTATTGGAATATTTTTTTTCAAAAAGGACCTGGGAGTAGTTAAAGATATGGTGCCCAGATGTACATATAAAGTGATATTTGGCCAATTTTAAAACAATACAAAAAAGCTCAGACATTAATTATAAATAAAAAAAGGGATCATATTTGGTTACCTTTTTTCCAGCAAGATACAACAAAACCAACACAGCCTTCAGATAATTCAAAAATATTGAAAAGAAGGGCTGAAACCATTAATCGGATTAATCATGATCAAGCGATTATTGAAATAATCTATAATTTATTAATCGTTATGATATACCAAAAGTGTACAAAAACATATAAAGATTTAGGATTCAAGATAAGAAAAAAAAAAAAAAAAAAAAAAAACATTTGTCCGTCAATAAGCTCTATCCGGAACTTCTGGAGTGGAAAAGTTTTAGTTTTGCCCGGTTTAATCGTTTAAAAAATAAATGTTCCCTATACAGGGAACAAAAGCCACACCAAAAAGGTATGAAAACCAATGACACATGCAAAATTAACCAATGGATTATAGAAACTTAACAGAAGTATGTTTCTATCTGCATGAAAATATCTGATATTTTAACCAATAAAATCTGATATCAGTTTTTTGGGTAGTATAGGACCCATATCCGATATTAATAACAGATTGGGACGTCCCTAAATTACACCTAAAACGCTAAAGCAACCGAAAACGATCAGTTGTATCAAAGCCAACTCACCCCTGACAGAACACTAAAGCATTCATTTGATTTTTTACAGTTCTGACCTTTCATAGCGGAGGAAAATGTTGTTGAGGTCGTCGTTTACATGCAGCAACTCCTCAGTCACTGCCTCATTAGATACGCAGGAGATGAGCTCCACTATCCTCTGCTGCATGGCTCGGCACGTCCTGTTCAGCTCCTGAGCGACACGCCAACCATTGTTTTAAGACGTCTACAAGCACCCCGGCCCTCTACGTTCCTCCAGAGCCCAGACTCAGAGCATCTTACCTGTAGTAGCTCGTAGTCTGAAGCATCCTCCTGTCCTGGCACCATCTCAGTCAGCATCTCTGACATCACTTTAGTGTTTCCACGAACAACCTCTAACTCACTGCGGAGCCGGCTAATCTGAGAGACATTGATGGAAACCAATCATTTTTTCATCCAGTGTAATAAATCTCAGAGTCATGCCTTAATACTCTGAACCCTACATTAGTTTCTTTGCCATGATGCTAACTAAAACATTCATGGAGATTTTATAAAAATAAAGGATTTCTCTCAGAAACTTATTGCTTATTGCAGTTGTTACAGACCTTTATTTCTTTTTTTTTTTTTTTTTGAGGCTCATACCCATTATTTTGACATCATTGATCTCTTATACGTCCTGCCAATATTTTTGGTCGGATTCTTAAAAGGCTATATTGCTTTTTCTTCCTCAATTTACATGATAAAAATGACAACGATAGCAAATTCCCACACAAAACTCAATGAAAAAAGAAATATCTCTTATCAACTTAAACTAAATATTAACAATATCTAGCAAAAGAAGGAGAGTGGCAATGCATGCTCTCCACAGGATCTCAAAGCATGGCTGCTGAATGCACGTATGAATCAGACAACACATGCATGTATTTGCGGATATGAGAAAAAAAATGCCAACATCCACCAAAAATATCAGTCTGACAATGCATCAAAAAGAATATATAGTGCTTATAGGACTCATTAGCACTATATACATAATATAAGGGTGTAAGCTCTGGAAAAACTCCTGGAATCATTTGTGCCCTGTAGCCATCATCAGGGTTCCCATTTAAAAAGTATTGAGAAGGATCCATACTAAAATTGTCCGTATGCTCAATAGGTAGAAATGTTGGCACCAAAGGGGAACCCCCCCCCAACAAAGAGGGGACAAAAAAAATAAAAAATAAAAATAAAATCAAATTTATCAAAAGACATTTGCACACAAGACTCCACTTTATGTTAGGCACTCTACACACTGACATTCAACCATCAGTGGTGCATGCAAATAACCCTAATGAACATCACTGTATATTAAAATGAGAAAGTGATTTTAAGAAGCTCAACAAGCTGATAAAGGAGGCTAACTCTAGAAAGTCCTCTGGAACCTTCTAAGATTAGCCAACAAGAGGAATTATTCATAAAATGAAGAACATTAGAGAAAATACCAACAGAGTGTCTTTAGTTAAAGGCTTCTCCAGATCTGGAGCAAGAAAGACCAGTACAGAAGATCCTTCCTGCCTACAGACCCTAAAATGGTTTTGACTTCCACTAAATTGACTGAAGATACAGTTTTCCTCATTCATTATTCAGTAAGGAGCAGCATGATGTTCATATGTCATTGATAAGAAAGCAGAAACAAAGAGAAGACTCCTCAACTCAGAGATTGGTCCAAACATAGAGCGCTGCCCCATCAATCAGAGCATAGCGTCTGCACACGTAGAGATTAATTTAAAAAAATCACAGGAGTTTACAGCGCACCTGTTCAGGGGTCGGGTTGACGGCTCCAGATGAAGGCAAGTTGGGGACCTGAGGGCTGCTGTAGGCTGGAGGGACAGGTTGCGCTGCTGGTTTAGTCTTGGTGCTGTGCCGATGTAGAGTGGAGTCGCCCTCTGGAGCTGATGCTGCCTGTAAGCAACACAGAGGCTTTTTAAAACCGCAGAGATGACCAGTCTTTGTTGAGAGAGGCAGAAAGGATGCCTCTAACCCGCAGAGGTGTATGTATAGGTGACAGAGTCTCCAGTTCTGATGTGGGGAACTCGATGCCCTTCCTCTTCAGCTCCTCATACACTTGAACTACACCTGTGAGATCTGGACTGCTCCTGAATGCATCGGCCCACGCCTGCAGAACAAGACCCAAGAAACAAGTCGTTACAGCGGGCAAACAGACATGGCAGAGGCTTCACACTGGATGCTCCTCCTGACACAACCTGGATTCAAACTGATGCCTCATATCAAAGGTGCAAACTTTCTGACCCCCTTTGATGAAGTAAAATTAAGCTTCACTTTTTACCGAGGAAATTGAAGAACCAACATGGTTTAAAGTAGGAGGAGGGCTGAAGCATGAATACCATCAAAACATGAAGTATGGAGCTCTCATGAACTTCATCACAGCTCTATAAAGACACAGACGTTTTTGTTAATGTTTTGTGTAACTAGAAACACGTAGCCAAGCTGCAGTATTTAAGATCAAGGCATATTCACGTGTAGGGCTGAAATAATCTGTTTAATCGGTTATTGAAATAACCGTCAACTAATTTAGTAACTGAGTATAGAGACTCTAAAACATGCCTTTAGCTGAGAGAGCGACCCATTTAGAGCACTAATTATACCAATATTGTTAAAAAAAATATAAACTTTTTGCATTTAAAGCTACAGTGTGTAATTTTCAGCGACATCTAGCGGTCAGACTGCAGACTGCAGCAACATGAACGTCTCCCCCCCACCGCTTCTCCCTCCCAACAGTACGGCGAGCGTTACAGGACAAAATGTCTTCCACGACGTCCGCATCACCTACCTTCTCAAGTGATGAGGTTTGTTTACATAGATAATTTTACAGATAGTATTTCATTAGTCTGTTTAGGGTATAGATTTCATGTAGACTTAAGATAATAAATATACCCGTTATTTTTTCTACGTCGTTGTGACGTTTTGGTGAGCTGCTTTGCATGGTGATATAAACAGACGAAGTAATTGTAGTCATTAGTTTAACAGCGAGATTGTGTTCGCTGGAAGAATATATATTCCCCGTTTACAGAGTCCAAGTCTTGTTTGTGGCACGGGGGTTACAAGGCAAGGAAGAGGGAAAGGAAGAGGGCAGAGAGGCCGGGGTGAGCGTGCAGCTGGGGCCAGGCGAGAGAGGGGAGCCAGCGGGGTGAGAGCAGAGGAGGAAAGGCTTGAAGATCTCCAAAGGAGCTGGAGAGAAGTAACCGAGGTATATATCCAGAAAATTATTTTACAGAAAATTACTGAATCATTACCTGTGAAACGTCAGGGACGTTGCTGAATAAGTATACTGGAGAGTAACAGCATCATCACGCAGCATGTTATTGTTTTAGACAGGTCTGAGCATCCTGTACTCCAAAAACTGCAGTGATATTAGACAATTGTGTGTGTAGGATTAATTACCTGTCCAAGAGAAAACTGGCAACTTGAGCGTCACTTTGAAAACCTTTTTCCTCCATCAGTGACTTCCATCGTGTAAATGCCGTGCCAATGTTGATCCGTGTTTTTTGTCGTTTCTTGTCACTCTTGCGTTTATTCTCGTCGTGTTTCCGTTTCTTAGATGACGGGGGTTCGGTGTCCGCCGCTTTTCGTTGTGATACAGAGTAGGCATGATCCTCCATTCGTCTGATGTTTGGCCACACAGTGCCAAACAGTTTGCAAAGTCACTCACGCCTGCCGCCTTGTTTACCTTTCTTGTTACCGAGGCGCAGTATACCTGCTTCTTCTTCTTTGGTTTCAGGCAGACTAAACGCTTCTCAGGCATAATACTGCCATCTACTGTTCAGTACCGTCTCAGTTCATCTCTCTCAACTTGCCGTAGTTATTTTCGAGCGTCATGGGAGATCTCGCAATCGCTAGTTTGTTGCCTCTGCGCTGCCGTAGCGCAAAGATGTCTGCCTCCATGGCTGCGAGACCCGCTCCTATGTAATTATAAATAACGAATTCTAAGGCAACGCAAATATTATGGTTAAAAGGCTGAGCTCATAGGTGATGATAAATAACATAGTTATGTATAATATATTAAATTTCTGACTTTATATGCCTGTAATTATTACACACTGTAGCTTTAAGATTTAAAAAAAGATTTGTCCATCCATATGCTCCATCCAGTTAAAGTTGGGTTTCACTTGGTTTAATTTCGTCAAAAGTCTTCTATAAAAATCTTTGCTATATTATTATTAATCGAATATTTTGTCAGTTTGCAAAATAATCGTTAGTTGCAGCCCTATTCACGTATTACAATGGCCTAGTCAAAGTTCACACCTAAATAACCCTTGAAAAACAAAACAGTATTTAGTTTAACTGCAGTGGATACTATTTAGTTTCAATATCAAAACAAAATCAAAGCTTAAGAAAGACTGTCATGAATGTTTACAACAGAATCCTGTACAAAATTCTAAACATTATGTTGGAAAGTTTATGAAAATCCTCCAATAGAACATTTCAGAAATATTAGCTTTAAAAAAAAAAAACAACATAAACTACAAAAAAACAGAAACCTCAGTCTGTGACAAATGTGTGATCGTACACTAAAATAGATTTAAATTTTTTATATTTCATATCACTGATATGAAATAAAGTATCACGATATATGTGGATATTGTATTATTGTCAAGCCTCTGATAAGACTTGAAAACTGATATTCTGCTTCCAACATGTTAGCAGCTGAGCAGCCAGTAAAAACAAACAAAAGAAAAAAACAGGGTATGACAAAAGGTGTTCTGGTGCCGATTCCGTAAATCATTTCAAAAACGTTTAATTTAATCATTTTAAATGAGAGACGGTGAAGAAAAAGCTTCAAGGTATTTATACTTTGAGATGGTGCAGCTGGTGGAGGCTCTTGGCTTTAAGCCCAATCAGCCATTTCAAAGGTTCAACCTCAGGATTAAACTATAGATAAGCATAAACATCACAAACTCATCTTGATTACTCAGCAGGGTTATACGACCAGCTTAAGGAAGATCAACTCCTTTAACAGTCAGTACTTTCAGGACTTTAACAAACATCTGATGACAACATCAGACGAGTGGAAAAGGCTTGTTTAACAAATCCTCTGTCTTCTTTCCACATTGAAATGTCAACAAATACCGCAGCTGCTGTTTGACAGGAGAGCAGCTCTAAATATCTTCAGTTGTCTCAACAAACAAATGCTTTTCTCTTAATACCAGCTACAACTAAGCCCTCTCCCTTCCTACCACAGGTGGAAATAGGAGCTGCAGTGTCACCTGAGAACAAAAAGGTAACTAGAGCTGCTCGGTTCAAGCCATGCAGACTCAACAGGCCCTCTCCTGGACAGATGCATCACCATTAACCGCACATTTAACAACAGACCGAGAACCATTTCCTTACCTGGATCAGAGCGAGCACTTTGTCCTGAACGATGGTGGGCGGGTTGTTTTTAGGAGAGATGACTTTAACAAGCACGCCATCAACAAAGTCCTTACTGGTCACTAAAGCGTGAAAACGATGACCGCAGTTCTTCACACATGTCTCAAGGACCTGGCAATGACAGAATGAGAAAGCTGCAGTTTGGGGAGAGCTACATCTATAGTATACTGTAGCAGAACTTGAACTCACTGTTAAAGTCAGCATCACTTCCCTATAGTTCCTGTTGCCACCGAGTCTCTTCTTGACCGCTCTAATAGCATCCTTTGGGCTAAAGAGAGGAGAAACAAACCGTGACAACTCAGCCTGGCCTTTCTGCTGAATATAAACATGTTCAGATCATAAACCAGGCAAGCTCTCAGTGTTTAAGTTAAGTTAAAATAACTTAACATTTTTTATGAGCAACAGACACTGATATATTTACTATTTTATTTTTCAGAACTGAAAAGAAAACATTTGTTAAGTGGAAGAAAAGTGATCCATTGTTTAAACAAAACTCTAAACTGTGGCATGCATTTCTATCCACAGCTCTAAATGAAGCTTCTTAGAACCACCTGGTTGTGGAGTTGCAACTCTGGGCGTTTTGGGTTTTTACCAGATTTTCACATTTCAAGTGAAAACTTGTTGAGTCTGATTTGAAAATTAGCCAAACATTTTTTTAGATGGATAATGTTACCTACTGACACAAACAGTCATTTAGATTCAGGTGTGAACTTCAACTAGGCCATTCTAACCCCTGAATATGCTTTGATCCAAACCCTTCATTGTATCTCCAGCAAGATGGTCAGGGTGGTAATCTAGCTGGAAGGTGAACCTCCATCCTCTGCAGCACCCAACAGGTTTTTCCTTAATGACTGTTTTGGTTTAGCTCCATCCATTTTCCATCAACTCTGATCAGCTTCCCTGCTCCCTCCACCATGTTGACAGTGGGTATATTTTGTCCAGCAGTGTTAGTTTATTATATCAAAGCATTTAGCTTTTAGGCACAAAGGTTCAGTTCTGGTCTCCCATCAGATCACCTTCTTCCAAATGTTTGGTTCGTCACAAACTGCAAACAGAACAACTTCTGGCTTTTTTTTTGTCCTCACTAATGACTTTCTTCTTGCTACTCTTCCATAAAGCCCAGTGGACATACTAGATGTATAAACGGATGTTGAGCTAATAGATGGTCCTATTGGCTGCTTTTCCGATCAATGCTTTCCCTCACCCTATTAGTCTAAGTGGATGTCAATCTCTTTGTAGGTCTGAGGGGGGGTCCATCCTCTCCATGTTCAGAAATTCAAAGCTTAGGAGAATGTGCTAGGAACAGAATTTGCTTTAAACATAATCAAATCAGGTGGACTCCGTTTACCAGTGAGACTCTGAAGACAAATGGTCACATTGGTGATATTGGGAGACCAAAGTTAAGGCGGGTGAACACAAATCCACTCTCTACTTTTGTGACTGTATAAAAATAAAGTTGATTTAATTACAGGCTCCATTACAATCATCTGTTTTTTTATGTATGTTTGCTAAATGAAAATTCAATAAAATACAAAGAAGTTATGAACTTTCACAAAAACCAGAAAGCAATTACCAACAATGCAACAACTGTTTGGTGAGAGGGTCAAGTTACATTCTCAGGCAGGGACAACAGCCAAGATTTCGAAAGTAAAATGAAAAGTAAAATCCTAATTTAAGAAGTACAGTCTTCATGTGGACTCTGCTCTCCCATAAGACAATAATAAGTAACTGTTTTAAATATTTTACTGGTTTAACCTATTTGGAGGGATGAATGGCACATTTAACATTAAAAACAGACATGTTTACCTTCATACAAAAGCAGATGTAGAGAGCGAGTGTGGTTGGAGCAGACTGCTTTGAATGTTGGGCTTGGCCAGTTTACAACCCACTAATCAAATAAAAAGCTGGACTTCACACACCAGTTTCAGGCATAAAAGCAGACGATTATGAAGCCATGAGATAAGAAATGAGGCCTTGCATGGGTCCACCCCACACAGTCGGAGCCACATCACTTAAGCTGGCCCAGGTATGAAAAGCAGCAGCCTTTAGTCCTAATGTAAATACCACACACCTGTGAGCACAGAGCTAGCAAACCTACAGAGCTAGCAACTCACCCATCCTCTGTTTCATTGATGATGTCGCATATTTCCATGTTCAGGGTCCAGTCTTCACTCTGCAGGGAACCATCGGTGGCTCTCTCTGAAACACAAACCTAGAATATCAGGAAAAAAGCGAAGTTTTCCCACAATAACACGACGATGACTAGTGGCTAGCTGAAAGCTAATTTAGCACGTAGCCCTTTAAAAATATATAGTTCGACTGCAAATAACATTAGCTCTAGCTAAAAATAACAAAGACCATATAAAGGAGACTTAGTTAACGTAAATAGTTAAAAAATGACATAAATATGAGCCTAGCTGCTCAATAACTAGGCGGCTAACGGTGGACCTCCACTCCGTAAGGGACGTTAGCATGCCTAAGTAGCAGCTTTTGATATGACTTCTACACAAAAAGATGTACAAGTTCGCGATGTTGTCTTTAAAGTAGTGTTTCTCACCAATACAATGCCCCACAGGGGTACTGAACGGATTTCCCAAAAGGAACTCCATCTTGCTCGACAAACAAGTCAATCCATGGACGACGGCGGCGATACAATAGAAACATCTCATAAGCCCCACCCACACACTTACCCTATTGGCCGAAGCGATTCTTCTCCTTGATTTTGATTCGACGAGCGCAACACGGTAGATAAACGAAGCTAAAGGTTAGGCCAAATCAACTCGTGACGTAACTGTATATATACACTATATTGCCAAAAGTATTTGCTCACCTGCCTTGACTCACATATGAGCTTAAGTGACATCCCGTTCCTAATCCATAGGGTTCAATATGACGTCGGTCCACCCTTTGCAGCTAGAACAGCTTCAACTCTTCTGGGAAGGCTGTCCACAAGGTTTAGGAGTGTGTTTATGGGAATTTTTGACCATTCTTCCAGAAGCGCATTTGTGAGGTCGCACACTGATGTTGGACGAGAAGGCCTGGCTCTCAGTCTCCGCTCTAATTCATCCCAAAGGTGTTCTATCGGGTTGAGGTCAGGACTCTGTGCAGGCCAGTCAAGTTCATCCACACCAGACTCTGTCATCCATGTCTTTATGGACCTTGCTTTGTGCACTGGTGCACAGTCATGTTGGAAGAGGAAGGGGCCAGCTCCAAACTGTTCCCACAAAGTTGGGAGCATGGAATTGTCCAAAATGTCTTGGTATGCTGAAGCATTCAGAGTTCCTTTCACTGGAACTAAGGGGCCAAGCCCAGCTCCTGAAAAACAACCTCACACCATAATCCCCCCTCCACCAAACTTTACACTTGGCACAATGCAGTCAGACAAGTACCGTTCTCCTGGCAACCGCCAAACCCAGACCCGTCCATCAGATTGCCAGATGGAGAAGCGCGATTCGTCACTCCAGAGAACGCGTCTCCACTGCTCTAGAGTCCAGTGGCGGCGTGCTTTACACCACCGCATCCGACGCTTTGCATTGCACTTGGTGATGTATGGCTTGGATGCAGCTGCTCGACCATGGAAACCCATTCCATGAAGCTCTCTGCGCACTGTTCTTGAGCTAATCTGAAGGCCACATGAAGTTTGGAGGTCTGTAGTGATTGACTCTGCAGAAAGTTGGCGACCTCTTCGCACTATGCGCGTCAGCATCCGCTGACCCCGCTCCGTCAGTTTACGTGGCCTACCACTTCGTGGCTGAGTTGCTGTCGTTCCCAAACACTTCCATTTTCTTATAATACAGCTGACAGTTGACTGTGGAATATTTAGGAGCGAGGAAATTTCACGACTGGATTTGTTGCACAGGTGGCATCCTATCACAGTTCCACGCTGGAATTCACTGAGCTCCTGAGAGCGACCCATTCTTTCACAAATGTTTGTAAAAACAGTCTGCATGCCTAGGTGCTTGAATTTATACACCTGTGGCCATGGAAGTGATTGGAACACCTGATTCCAATAATTTGGATGGGTGAGCAAATACTTTTGGCAATATAGTGTGTATATATATATATATATATATATATATATATATATAAAAAAAACTTTGGAAAAAATATATTTCCTGCTTTAAACTGGTAATACCCATTAAAGGCCTTTAGATGTTTTGTTTATCTAAAAGCTTAAAAAATGTAATATCTGGAAAATTATGTGACTAGGTAAAATGCAAATGATTTTAAAAAACAGACATTTAACAATTAAGATTATTGTTCTGATGCTGTGGTAATTGAAATGTTTTAAACCTAAAATTATTAAATGTAAAATTTTTGTCCCTAATTTAAGAATTTGAAACTCATTGTACATAATGAAATATTCAAAGCCTTTATTGTTATTTTGATGATTTCTGGCTTACACATGATGAAAACCCCTTGCAATACCAACAATAGTTTGATTTCTCACTGAATTAGCAAATTCTCCTATTTTATTTAAACCAAACAGTACTAGACTCAGTGGGATGTGCCAGCTGCTGTGCCCCTGTAACATGACAGGAAAACAGACACTGTGCAGTAAAACCTCTCAGATTTACTGATACACAAACAAATACACATGCACAATAAACAGAGTTGACAACTAGAGCTAGTATTTAGACAATACATTTGATATTGAGGCTGTGAAACTTCAACTTTCCTATTTGGAGGTTTTCAAATTTTTATATTTTACTACATGAACCATCAAGAACAGGCAGCTTATTGAAACCACGTCCTGAAATGAAATAATCATGGCCAAACAATGATGGTACTCATTAAACTCAGTATGTGCTGAGGTGATGGCTCTATTCTAAAAGGGCTGAGGACCATGGAACCTGTTTCCAAAATGTCCCAGTGGAAAGGGAGTCATACTGACATCAAGAAAACATGGATGCGGTTTACTAAATACAGGTGACTCAGTCTTCTGGTATGTGTCACAGCTGACTAGAACAATGTAGTAATGGGTTGCTCAGTGAGTTCCGCCTCTGAAGCTCAATGTTTTAGGGTAGATTTGCTGCCGTTGTTGCTCAATGGGTACCAGGTAATCCTGATCAGTCCTGCATTAGTTTGCGTTTCACGGTTGAGCTCTCAGATGAGAGGTGGACAAAAAGAGCTCCCGCAGCTGCCCGTGCCCTCAGCTCATACATGTCGTAGTCATGTGCCCACTCTACATTACCCCAGTGCTGAATCTGAAAAAATAGAGACAACAAAATCAAGAAAAATGGAAAACAAATGTCTCAAATAAAAAGCTAATTCTGCAGAGTTTTTAAACCAGGCAGATTTCATAATAGACCTTGTTTAGCCGTGTTTTTAGTCCATCCTACCTGGTATTCCTCCTCCAGCCTGGACAGCAGCACTGCTTGATCTACGCTCAGATGTCTGTCAATCAGCGCCAGGGAAAGTACCAAAGACTTCAGCTGTGAGATCACAAACTCCAGCCCTGCACAGGAGATACCACAGATGATCATAAACTAAGGCCCAGGCTTTGAAAGGGCATCTAAATATTCAGTGCTGATCTTCTACCAGTCAGGGACCAGAGGGTGTATGAACTCAGGTGCTGTCTGAACGTGTCGTTAGTTTCCTCTGGGATCTCAGGACCCAAAATACTGGACGAAGATCCAATAGTGACATTGTATCTGTTGCATAAAATAAGGAGGAATATTTTTGCAGTTACTACATATTTAACAGAACAAGCATTACTCCAACATCAGCTCCTTAACTCTTACCTGTCTTCAATCCAGTGAAGCACAGGGTCCCATTCATTCTTCTGCAGCTCAACCAAACCTGGAGGTTCATCTACTCTGTAGCTAAAACCACACAAAGAAGCGAGAATAACAACATTTTGGCAAACATACAGCCCATTTGAAGCCTAATCTTTATACCCTTAGTGTCATGCTGAGCTTCGTTTCACTCCAAAAGGCCAGCAATTGATTCAGAGCTCTTAGGCTATGTTCACCCTGCAGGCCTAGATGCTCAATTCCGATTTTTTTTTGCATTGCCGTTCACATTTCCAAATATATGCGACTTGTATGTGATCTCCTGTGTGAACTGCAGTCACACAAAGCAATGTCCCGCATGCGCAGTAGAGGACGCAATGACCTCATAGGCAAGCGTGCTCTATGTTTACGGAAGTAAACATGGATGGTAGTGCCGGCGCACATCTAGCGGTCTTTTCCAACCATAAAAACTCAATCTTTTGAATATGGTTAAACATAAATACTGCTCTCCGCATCATCATCTGCCATGGTTGTTGTTTTTCTTGCAGCTTCTGTGTAGCAAGATGCATAATAGAACCCTTTGTCGGGAATTAATGACGGCCAGGTCGGATTTGAAAAGATCAGATTTGTATCGGATTTAGGACCACATAACCAAGTGGCCTGGGTCGGATCTGTGTTGTTCAGACAGCCATGAAAAGATCAGATCCAGGTCGCATATGGGCCAAAAAAATCAGATTTGGGTCACTTCAGGCTGCAGTGTGAACGTAGCCTTAGTCCGATGCCCCTTTGGTTTTAATAGAATTGATCAAATCAAATAATCCAAGCATGAATTTTATTTTAACATTCACCCAATTCGTTGTGATAAGTTCTATGGTTTGTTTGCTTTCTCTTTTAAGATGGAGTAAATCTACAGCAGGAACTCTGAGTTCTTTACATTTCAATTACAGCCTTAAGATTGATGGACAGCATCAGCCCTCTCTAGAGGCCCCGCTGGGCCCTGTTTCAGAAAGTGGGATGAGTAACTCAGGTAAATTCTGTTGTATATTCCTGCATATCGTGGATTTTTGGTTTCAGAAAGCTGGGTAGCAGTTATCGCAAGTGAATTTTATTCTGCAAGTTACTCCATGAACCAACGCTGGTCGGTAGCAGGATCTCTTGAAGTTATTCTCTGTCTGTTGCCCATTTGACAAGGTGTCAAAAATGGTGTGCCAATTGCTCTCCATCAGCTACAGGCTTGTCTAATAAACACTCATTTGCTATACACGATTAGATGTCATATTAATATGCTTTCAATCATATATTTCAAGAAATCTAGCTTCAGAATGCTTGAAACAAAACAACAACACATTCTTTACTTGTGCAGAAGGCAAACTATCAGGATTTAGCATCAAATCGTTACCTAAGGGCTCAAACTGTTCTCTTTTTGTGGAGCAGAGTTTTCCTACCTGCTGTACACAACAGTGGGGTTGGAACCCAGAAAGTGGTTGTAGCTCCCCTGACCCTCCCCCTCAATCATGGAATAGCTTGGGTGATGTTCACTTATATTCTACAACCGAGCTTTGCAGACTGAAGAGGTCAAAAATTCCAAACAGAAATCAGAATTTATCCTTGTAGAGTAATTAATTTATAGATTAGGGCTTCTTATTTACTAGGTTTACTAGTGGCTCCCAGAATTTCTAAAAGTAGAATGGGAGGCAGATCTTTCACTTGTCATGCTCCTCTCCTATAGAACCAACTAGCAGTGTTAGCCTGTGAGGCAGACACCCTGTGTACTTTTAAGACAAGGCTTAGAACTTTACTTTTTAATAAACCTATAGTTTTAGTGGCTGAGGTAATACTGAGCTATCTCTATAGTTGCTGCTATGGGCTTAGACTGCTGGAGGACATAGGCATCACTTTTCATTATTCTGCTTCATTCTGCCTCTATTCTAAGACTAGTCTGTGAACATTGCAAAATGAAACAACAAAATGCTGCAAAAATCCAAATCTGTCAACCTGTAAAATTACTTTTTTATAATATGAAAAGCATTAAAGAGCTTCGAACCTAAAATCGGAGGAGAATGGGCATAGATCCATTTAGATTATATATATTGATAAATCTGTCAACAGGTTTGAAATGCAGAAGCATCTAAAACCTCACTTATTGAGGGAGAAGACATTTCTAAAGGAAGTTAGTGAAGGTTAGCACACAATATTAAGAAAAGCATACCAAATGGTGTCTGTTTCCAGAAACTTAAGAGCAGCGCTGATCATCTGGTCTTTGTTGCGCTGAGTGGGATTGTCCAGAGCAGTGTTGCACAAAGTAGTCTGTAGAGAAAGTTTCCAACCCCAATGAAATCAGTTCAAATTCATCAGGTAAAAAAAGAACAAAGCAGAATCTCTACAGGTAGTTTCCTCTCATAAAATCCAAGCCTGAGGCTCACCTGATGACCACTTCTGAGCGTTGGGGGTATATTAATATGATGGTCATGTTTCAGACTGATGTCTGACATCAGAGACACTGACTTCTTAAAGTATTGATGACAAGATATGGAGTTTATGTAATATTGCATTAAAATCATGCTGCAGGACATTAGGAATAAAACAGGCAGATTTTAACACAAATATCCTGCATTTAGAAGTACCACAGCAGCTTTTTTTAAAACTATAGCAGGTAAAAACCAAGCTGTGTGCTGCAATATGAGGGAGAACACTATTGAAGCTAGCACAACATTCTATAATGGAGATAATGGTGAAACACTGATAACCTACACTGCACACAAAGCACCATTTTATATATAACATAGGACCTTTAAGATCTAACAAATGGAGAAAAGGTAAACAGCCATACCAGGTGCATGGTGTAGAACTTGATTGTGTCTTTTTGAGCATCCCACTCTGTAGCCACGGCGATGGCCAGCGCTTCATTTGGTACGGTGAACAACTGCCCATTGGGAGTTTTTAACTTCCTCTTGTCAAGGTTTACCTCAAATAGACCACCTGTAATTTCGTTTAAAAAAAAAAACTATTATAAACAAATATTTTTTATACAGCAGAATAACGCAAGAGGACAGCAATCTTCACAGTGACTCAAATGCAGTTATGCACAGTTATGTTACAAACACAGATTACTGTGTAATATAATGGGATTGGACCAGATGAGAAAACTGCAAAATAGAAAGAAAAAAAAATATAGCACAGTGTCAGATTATAATCTGACACTTTAAAATTAAATCAAGTGTTAACAATTAATCCAGTCTAATCAGTAAAACTCATAGGAGCCATTAGTCCCACTCTATGAAAACCTGGTCTCTACTGAAGAGCAGCAATAGCCATTCAGCATAAACAGCAAATATGTGCAGCTGGGCTGAGGTTAGAAGAGACCAAAACTGAATAATTTTCATTTCATAAAACTCATGTTTGGTAGTAAACAGACACTGCATATCACCCCATAGTGAGGCTGGGTGGTGGCAGCATCATGCTACGGGAACGCTGTAGGGAAGCTTTTCATGTTTATTGAAAGGTTCTAATTATAGGGCAATTTAGAGGAAAATTTGCTAAAGGATTGAGACTTATGCTTACCTTCACCCTGGGATATACTGACATCCTGATAAAATCTCTTCCTCTCTAGTAAAGAAACAAGACAGCAACATCAACACAATTCAGCATCTGTTCATTTTCTATAAGGTGCAGTTATCTTCCTACCTGTTGAGGCAGTGGAGTATTTCAGGGCACCCCTGTATTGTTGATGTCTTGAACAAACTTTTGAATGAGAAATAAAACCTCCAAAGTGGCTCTGCAGTCTAGCAATGCCTCTAAACATAGCTGAACTTAATGAGGTGGAGATGCTATAACAGATAAAGATACAGAAAACTGTCGGTCAGTAAAACTGCTGCATTGTTAGCGTCGCTATACCTTTAAAACTAACTCCATAAAGCAGCTACACTAATATCTGCTGGTTTTGTTTTTATTTTAGCAAAGCAGCTTCAGCTTTCAAAAGCACGCGTGTGACCTTCCTCTCAGTCGGTTTTATGAGCTTTCTGAGAAAGGGATATGTAGTCTTTTAACACCGTTGTAAAACCTTCTGCGTTATGAAAAAAAACTACACTCAAACGTTTGCGTGAGAACTTCCGCATATTCATCCAATGATCGGTTACGATGTTGGTGAAGTGGATTCCTCCAGCCAATGGGAGAGCGCGATGCTCCCGCTAGAGCGCAGCAACGAAGTCCGCTCTACTTCTCCTGAGAGCCTTGGCAAACTGTGCTCTAGCGGAGATAAATGGGTGTTTGAATGGTTTTGGATGTACCCAGCGCTCCTTCAGCTGTCCGTAGAAGCGAGCGGAGTCCTCCGCCAGCACGGCTATTGACTGCGGTAGGTGAGCAGCCAGCGAAGCCATGCCAGTCCCCGCTGGATACCTCAGCGCCTCCCTCGCGGCCTTCTCATCCTCGGCCTCGCTTATCCCACCGCCGCCGATAAACACCCAGCAGCCGGGCGTCGTCACCTCGCTCCTGTACAGCGGCTCCAAATTTAGAGGCCATCAGAAAAGCAAAGGAAACTCTTATGATGTGGAGGTTGTTTTGCAGGTAGGGTGCTGAACTTAATATTGATGTTTGAGTGTAAATGTTAAAGGCATTTTGGTGATGTGTCAATCTGACGCCGTGATGACTGACAGCTGGAAAAAACAAATCTCGTTTCTGCACGTCTTCGTTTAACTTACCCTGATTTGTTTGTAAAACAGCTATACAATACATACAACTGAAGTATAAAAAAAAATTGATCTCCAAATGTTATAAAATGTTACCAAAACGCCAACAAATCAATATCGATATGTTATATATGAGGAACAGTACACAGGTTGTGGGAGTGTCGCCTAGTGGTTAGTAAACAGGCTTGGAATCCTGAGGTTGTGGGTTCGACACCCCTGGGATCTCTGGACGCTGCACTGTGGCAGCCCAATCAGAGGCACAAGCCAAATCATTTAAATAAGGGTGGTCAGGCAATAACCAATATACTCTGTGGGGTGGCCAAAAGCAGATGGGTGCCAGAACCTCAGGGTCAGTGTACACTGTTCCAAAATGAACAATCACAACATTTATATTTTCTAAATAAAGACAAACTATACTTTCCTACAGCCTTTGCTAACAAATACACGCATATATTTAAACATTCATGCTGTCTAAATTAAAGGTGTAGTGGATAAAATTCTTTCAGTTTTGAGTTGTGGCTCGAACATCTTATTTATTGTAATTACTAACCTACTTTTAATAATAATCTGACCAAAATGTATATTTACATGTACTAATATCTACATTAAATTGATTACTGATCATTGAATATTCCTACAGGACTTGCAGAGACAAAAAATAGTTCTGAAAAGAGCATGAATTCTGTATTTATCTTTAATGTTAATATATTGATGTGCATAATTAACCGCAGGGTTGTTGTTTTTTGTCAGGTAAATTGTTTACATATATAACATTTAAATGTTAAATTGGAACATTCCACTTGAGAGCATTACTGCTGTCACCATCTGTATTATAGGGAAAATAATGGTAGGGGCGGCCAATGATTGGGTAAGGGTGGCCATGGCCACCCCCCAACTATTTCCGCCCCTGAACCCAGTGCTCCCCAAAGGAGATGGGTTAAATGTAGAGAGTTAATTTCTCCTTTGTGAGATCAATAAAGTTTAGTTTATTTATTTAGGCTGATCTCAATGTTCTCTCAAAGTTTTCAGATAAAAAATATGGCTTAATCTGGGTTCCTGCAGATCCTTAAAAAGTCTTAAAAGGCAATGAATTCTTCAATATAAAAATAAGGCCCTAATTTGTATTATAATGTCTTAAATCAGTCTTTCGTAGGTCTTAAAATTGTCACCAAGTCATAAATGGGATTTTATTTTGTAATTCATATAAAAAATTTAAATAAGTCATGAAAATTTTTTCACATTTACCGAACAGCTTAGCTGGAAGCATTGTTAGTTCCATCCTGACGGCAGAACCAATAAAAACAATGTTTGGGTGATGCAGCAATAACATAACCTGACAACAGCCAGATGCATGTCTCGCTCCGCCCAGCTGAGCTAGGCGGAGTGAGACATGCATCTGGCTGTTGTCAGGTTAGCAATAACATGGGGAAGTGTAAATTCAATGAAAATGGGCTATCCAGCCAGAGTTTTTTTGCAATGGCTAAAAACAGAACCAGGTGATGTATATGAGGAATGGCGTATTTTGAGCAAGAAGTCATTGGAGCTCAGCACCATGAGAATGAAAGCTGTGGGGTCAGGCATGTGAAAAACAAAGCACCAGAATTAAGTTAAAGGAATAGTACACCCAAAACATGATTAGCCTTCATTTTCTACTCACCCCCATGCTGAACAACACTTTGGAGTACTTTGATATCTCAAATGCATCTGGAGATCTGGGAGGCTTCTTGCTGTCTGCTGACATTCAAATAATGGAGGTCCATGGTGCCCGAGGCAGAAAGGTCCATAAAAGTCCACAAAAAACGTGTCAATATTCCTCCATACTGCTCGTCCAATGTATTCCAAGTGTCCTGAGTTGGTAGCGTCCATAATTTACTCAAAATGAAGTCATTTAGAATGTTTTTAGAGCATAAACAGTAGTGTATAGGATTTCCTAAAAGCGCATTCACGAGTCTACGGAAACCGCTGCAGACCAAACCAGATAAAAGTGCGCATTCAGCGTCTGCTCTGCCAATAATGCAAGCGTAGAAGAAGAAATGTGCTGTTTACCTGTGCAAAGAAAGAAACAACGAAAGAAAAATGTCTGAGGACTTCAGTGTTGAGGAAGAGCATGAGTTCTTTGCCGAGCTGAATGCGCACTTTCGTCTGGTTTGGTCTGCCGCGGTTTCCGTAGACTCGTGAACGCGCTTTTAGGAAATCCTATAAACTACTGTTTATGCTCTAAAAACATTCTAAATGACTTAGTTTCGAGTAAATTATGGATGCTACCCACTCAGGACACTTGGAATACATTGGACGAGCAGTATGGAGGAATATTGACACGTTTTTTGTGGACTTTTATGGACCTTTCTGTCTCGGGCACCATAGACCTCCATTATTTGAATGTCAGCAGACAGCAAGAAGCCTCCCAGATCTCCAGATGCATTTGAGATATCAAAAAAGTACTCCAGAGTGTTGTTCAGCATGAGGGTGAGTAGAAAATGAAGGCTAATCATGTTTTGGGTGTACTATTCCTTTAAAGAGAAGCAGCAGCTTTTTCTCAGCTCTGTTCCACCATTGTCTCTGCAAGGCCTCTACAGCATCTCCAACATCAAAAAAAGCACCAGTAGCACCAAATCTGCGGATAATGTTTGGCGGTTCGCCTACAATGAAAGCAGAGCTATTATGGACTTTAAGTAGGGATCAAAACAAAGTTTGTGAATTACATTCATAAGTTGTTCAATACATATGTTATAAGAGTGTTTTTAGCTTCTTTACTGGGCCACAAAGTAATGGTTTATGTTAAAATAAGCATCAGGTTAAATTTGACGCGAACAGGTTTTCTTGTGAATTTGGTCTTAAAGTTTTATTTCAAGGGACAAAAAAAAAGTCTCAAAAAGTCTTAATTTTAACTTGCCTTATGTTGTAGGATCCCTGGGAATGACTATTTAGTTTTTTGTTTTCTTCCTGTCAAAGCACGTCACCATGGAAGATTCCTACTTGTGTGGCTACTTGAAGATCAAGGGATTGACAGAAGTGAGTATTTGTCTCTTTTAATTCCTCCATGTTGTGATATGTAGACAAAAAAGCTCCATGTTTGTTTAATCTATCATTTAGTAAAAAAAAAAAAGAAGAAAACTCAGCAATTTCAGTTCAATGAAAAAGAAGTTTTCTTAGTGCATTTTGTAGAACATTTAGTCATCATTGAACTCATTGGCCATGTTTATGAGGCAGCATCTTCATGATTGACGTGTCAGGAACCAATCGTGTACAACGGACCAGACCGTCTTTTGTGATTGGTTGGGGTTAATCATTGATTTCTCATTTTTTAGTTTCACTTCCAGACCTTCTATTTCACTGCTTGCTAAGCGGCTGTGGGGAGATCTTTAAGCCACATGGTAAAGAAATGCGTCAGAAAAGATCTCCTACTGCACCTTAGAGGCCACCCTAGAACCATGGAGCTAACACTGACATCCTGTCATTAGTGGTTCTGAAAGCTGATTTAGAGGACAAATGGAACCTTCCATAAACCTGGACAATGGATAAAGGACACATAGCAACAGCATTCATAATAAAACCATATCTAGTCTACTAAATGCAGCACAAAAAAAAATTACAAATGTTTTTGTCTTTTCAAATTTCTGCCTGGGACACATGTCCTTTAATAGTTGGAGAAGCACCTATAATCATCTGTCCTCGTCTCTCTATTTCAAACCAACTGAGCAGAGTTGGACTGAAGCAGAACCTTGGGTCATTGTTTGTTTGCACAGATGTTGCCCCCCCCCAAAAAAAACAAAGAACACGAATGAAATCATTTAAAGCCCTAACCTGTTATTCACATACCCAGATTTATAAGGCAGCTTTAAAGAACACCCAGTGATGACCGGTAATGGTGAAAGCATCAGGGATGCGATCGTCAAGGCTCTTCATGAAACCCCAGAAAACTAGGAGCTCTCAAGTTTAAAAGCATTTATCAACTGTAAAACTAAAAATTGGATTAATATGGTATTTTGCCCCTGTGATATATTGTATTGGCGGGGGGTTCTGGACTTGTTAATGAGTCTCTTTCCGTTGATAAATTTCTGTGATATCTATTGTTACATTTACATGTACCGTGATGTTTTTTGCTCTTATATAATTTCTGGGGTTTTTTTGTGTGCTTTTTTTTAAATCAAAATCCTGCTTTTAGTTAATTGCAATGTGTACCTTTTACTTGTTTGTAGCTTGTCCACTTTTGGGATCGGTTTATTCAATTTTTTTTTCATTTTTTAAATTTAAAACATTTTATTCGGGAACTTGGGTGACTCTGATTAGGGCCCCAGGAAAGAAAGTTGTTTGTGTGTGGCTGAGGTCTCCACCTCCCCTGATCTTTGACCCTCTTCATTTATCCGGGAGTCAGAGGAGTCATGCCTCCATTGCTTAGAGCTGATTAATATAAAGTATTAAAAAAAAAACTGAACTAAACACTTCCTGCTTTCTCCTGTAGGAATATCCAACTCTGACAACCTTTTTCGCTGGAGAGATCATCAGCAGGAAGCGGCCGTTTCTCACCAGGAAGTGGGACGCAGATGAAGATGTGGATCGAAAGCACTGGGTATCCCTAAGACTTTTACTACAGCAAATATTGGCTAAATCCATCTCCAGTCGACCAGTGTACCTTAACAGTAAGGTTTTTCTGTTCAGGGCAAGTTCCAGGCCTTTTACCAATACGCAAAGACCTTCAACTCTGATGAGTTCGACTATGAAGACCTGAAGAACTCTGATTATATCTTCATGAGGTGGAAAGTAAGACACTGCTTGCATGCATTCTGCAGGTCTGCTCAGTGTGTCTCCGAAGGTCGCCTGTTATATTTTCTTGTGGTTCCATCTTCCTCAGGAGCAGTTTCTGGTTCCTGATCACACCATCAAGGACATCAGTGGGGCTTCCTTCGCCGGCTTTTACTACATCTGCTTCCAGAAGTCCACAGCCACAATCGAGGGCTATTACTACCACAGGAGCTCTGAATGGTAACCAGTTGTTTTAAGGATGCTCAGAGTTAGGATTACCTGGAAAATGTACTGCAGGGAAACTGTCAGGGATGTAACATTAAACTGTTACTGTACAGAACAGGTGGACATAAGCAGGAACGTAAATTATATGTAATTTTATCAAGGCAAGGCAAATTTATTTGTATAGCACAATTAAGTACAAAGACAATGCATGTGCTTTACATGATTAAAATATAGGAAAATAAAACATAATCAAAGCAAGTAGGAAAAAAAATAAAATAAAAAATGCAGAACCAAAAAGAATATTATATCAGGGTGGAGAGTCCAAGCACGGTGGTTCCAATCCAGACAGATTAGATCTCACAATATTTTCCCTTCTGCTTAATTATTAATCAGATCAGCTTCTGCTTTATTAATTCATTAAAGTATGAATGAAAACAATAATTTAGTTGGTTTCTAGGCATAATTGATAGTAATCACACTCACTGTTCCTTAATTAAAGAAGAATATTTGATCTAATTATTAATGCTTCAACATGTTTCTATGTGCATTTGTAAATACATCTTGTACAGTGATTTCACAGAGAGCTTTAGGGGCAGAAAAATCTTAATTTCAGCTTTTATGTCTATATTTCATCCTAAAGCCCCTGTCACACCTTGACGATTTAGACCAGCATATGCCTGACGTACAAAAAATCTGGCAACAACACTGGCACACGTTGGATAAGTTATGGGTTTGTTTTGTATAAGTTGTGAGCACGCTGGCACAGGTCAATACGGCACATGTGGGGCATAAGTTACAGGTAAGTTATCTGATCGTTGACATTCGTTAAGTGTAAGTTACTCATAAGTCGTGGCGTCTAGCTATGAGTAACTTGTGCGTAGCTGATGCGTAACTTATAAAGAACTTATCTCCAACACATATCAATGTATCTGACATGTTCCAGACAACCGCTGAACAGCTACTGTTTAATGGCGTATTGGCAGCGTTTTGGTATAAAAGGAGGTTCTCCTCCAGAATGCATCCCCATCATAGGATAAGTGTGATGGATCTTCCCTGCATTCACACCCACGACCAACAAACTTCCTAGCAGATGTGGCGCTGAATCTGCTACGACTGCAAACCTTCTTTCTTTCTTTCTTTCTTTCTTTCTTTCTTTCTTTCTTTCTTTCTTTCTTTCTTTCTTTCTTTCTTTCTTTCTTTCTTTCTTTCTTTCTTTCTTTCTTTCTTTCTTTCTTTCTTTCTTTCTTTCTTTCTTTCTTTCTTTCTTTCTTTCTTTCTTTCTTTCTTTCTTTCTTTCTTTCTTTCTTTCTTTCTTTCTTTCTTTCTTTCTTTCTTTCTTTCTTTCTTTCTTTCTTTCTTTCTTTCTTTCTTTCTTTCTTTCTTTCTTTCTTTCTTTCTTTCTTTCTTTCTTTCTTTCTTTCTTTCTTTCTTTCTTTCTTTCTTTCTTTCTTTCTTTCTTTCTTTCTTTCTTTCTTTCTTTCTTTCTTTCTTTCTTTCTTTCTTTCTTTCTTTCTTTCTTTCTTTCTTTCTTTCTTTCTTTCTTTCTTTCTTTCTTTCTTTCTTTCTTTCTTTCTTTCTTTCTTTCTTTCTTTCTTTCTTTCTTTCTTTCTTTCTTTCTTTCTTTCTTCTTTCTTTCTTTCTTTCTTTCTTTCTTTCTTTCTTTCTTTCTTTCTTTCTTTCTTTCTTTCTTTCTTTCTTTCTTTCTTTCTTTCTTTCTTTCTTTCTTTCTTTCTTTCTTTCTTTCTTTCTTTCTTTCTTTCTTTCTTTCTTTCTTTCTTTCTTTCTTTCTTTCTTTCTTTCTTTCTTTCTTTCTTTCTTTCTTTCTTTCTTTCTTTCTTTCTTTCTTTCTTTCTTTCTTTCTTTCTTTCTTTCTTTCTTTCTTTCTTTCTTTCTTTCTTTCTTTCTTTCTTTCTTTCTTTCTTTCTTTCTTTCTTTCTTTCTTTCTTTCTTTCTTTCTTTCTTTCTTTCTTTCTTTCTTTCTTTCTTTCTTTCTTTCTTTCTTTCTTTCTTTCTTTCTTTCTTTCTTTCTTTCTTTCTTTCTTTCTTTCTTTCTTTCTTTCTTTCTTTCTTTCTTTCTTTCTTTCTTTCTTTCTTTCTTTCTTTCTTTCTTTCTTTCTTTCTTTCTTTCTTTCTTTCTTTCTTTCTTTCTTTCTTTCTTTCTTTCTTTCTTTCTTTCTTTCTTTCTTTCTTTCTTTCTTTCTTTCTTTCTTTCTTTCTTTCTTTCTTTCTTTCTTTCTTTCTTTCTTTCTTTCTTTCTTTCTTTCTTTCTTTCTTTCTTTCTTTCTTTCTTTCTTTCTTTCTTTCTTTCTTTCTTTCTTTCTTTCTTTCTTTCTTTCTTTCTTTCTTTCTTTCTTTCTTTCTTTCTTTCTTTCTTTCTTTCTTTCTTTCTTTCTTTCTTTCTTTCTTTCTTTCTTTCTTTCTTTCTTTCTTTCTTTCTTTCTTTCTTTCTTTCTTTCTTTCTTTCTTTCTTTCTTTCTTTCTTTCTTTCTTTCCTTTTCTTTTCTTTTCTTTTGGGTGGGCAGTAAACAGCAGCTAGGTTAATACCGAGATCAAAGACATCATTTGATGCAGGCCGGGCGCCTCTGGGTGCATCTCCGCTCCCCTCAGGACACTGGCTTGTGACGTTTCATGGGCATTGCGCTGCCGTGCGTTATGCATAAGTTAGGCACTCGCTGAACATTAGTTGTAGGCTACTTATACATACGCTATGTATTCGCCCAAAATTGAAAAAATACATAGAAAGTTCAGGGTATGTCAGCGTTTTAGAAGATTTGAATAGTTTGTTGAATACAGCTAATAAAGGCTGTAAAGGATAAACTTAATAACGGATAACTAAAACTTTCATGATATATCTATTTTTCTCTTGATTTACTGCTACTTCCTTTATGCGTCGGCTGGGTTATACCTGATATGTTTCAAGCACACACACACCCTCGTCTTGCTATATGTTGAGGACCGTGTTTTTACTTCCATAGACTTCACTTGATTTTCAAGCCTTTCTGCGCCTCAACCCTAAAAAATAACCAAGCGTGTCCTTGGTGTCCTCCTGGTGGGACGTGTCTTGAACACCTCACTAGGGAGACATCCAGGAGGCATCCTAATCAGATGCCCGAGCCACCTCAGCTGGCTCCTCTCGACTACTTTTCAGAAACCCAAATCTGGTCACCATAGATATGCTAACATTGCTATCAACAGCTCAGCGACAAAATAGTACTTACAGCTTGCGGTTGTGATGGCCTTACAGTCGGAACAGCCCCACGTTTCAGTAAAAGAAGTTTAGCAAATCCTGCTTTGAACTTTCCAAGACTTTGAAAGTTATCTTCTGTAAAATGCTTTGAGCAAATGAACAGCTGAGCATTAAAACTTTGCAGGGATCTTCTGATACACAAAAATAATCCATGCCTGTCGAGTCTTCGAATCCTTGGGAAGAATGTAAAATGTTCCCCTTTCTCTGTGCAGCCTGGAGCGCTGCATTTACTCCCATGGTTCTGGCTCATTTTAAAGAAACTGCCCGCTTTTTGTAGAAGTAAACCCAACTGTAGGCTAAACGGCTAAACTGGTGTCTTCCATCTACCTTTATTCATGTTCTTGGGCCAGAGAACCAGTGGGCTGGTCTGTATGTCAAATTAGAGGCGTAACAAAATTACCAAATAAGGCAAAATCCCCGAATTGACATCATCACGGTGCTTCGTTTGAATTCACCCATTTTATGATGGAAGTTTAGAATTGTGAGGGAGGAGCTGTCGATGGCGTTTGAACTTCTCTGTTCATCCATTTCACCCACTGAACTGTCATTATTCATCTATAACAATGTAAACTCGGTTTTGCATGATGAGCCCTTTAACATTTCTTGTTGTTTCTGTTGTCTAGGTACCAGTCCCTGAACCTCACCCATGTTCCTGAGCACAGTGCAGCAATCTATGAGTTCCGGTGACCACTGTCAGCTTCCAGGATCTTTCTATTGTTGGGAAAGCAGAAGGTCTGCGGATGCTGCTGAGAAGTTAAAGGACGCCAACCTGCAATGACAGAAACGCTTGGAGACCTGCACATGCTCACATTTTCCTAAACGAGCACCATGAATGTATGGATGCAGGCGGAACAGGTGGAATGTGCTTTTGTGCCTCCCGGCAGGAGTTTGAGAAGCTGGAACCAGCAGCTAGGACTGGGTGTGGTTCCTGTAGAGTTTCCCTTTCCTCCATTGTTTTAACGTCTGGTTTTTAAAGCGCTTGGCTCAGTATAGCGAGACTCTTTCTAAGCCTTGTTGGGATTTCTCCTTTCCTGATTTGCCACAAGGAACAGCTCAAGCTTTGGTGCAGAAAGAGCAGCTTGCACACATTGAACTGCTGCTGGACAAGGATTCTTCTACGGAGTCCGATCCGATTACTGGACAGAACCAGCAAGTCTGGGAAGACGAAGAGCAGGAGAGAAGGTGACGGTCGGAAAGTCTAAATGGTGACAGAGTATTTTTAAGCTAAAGTTGTTTGTTGGTCTGCCAAGAGTATATTTTCTTATTTTACTGATTGAGCAGCGAGAGGCACTTTTTTAAAAAAAAGGTACAATCTGGGAGATTCCTGAAATAAGCTTTTCTCTATTTTCATCCAGCTGCTTTTTGAGATTCTTCTCATTTAGGATTGTTGTGGATTTTCTCTTCATTCTGAGTCAGCTCTACATGTGTCTATGAGGCTTATAGTTGGGCTTTTAAAGCAGGTCAGGTTTTTATCGGTGAAGGTTCCCAACCAGAACAATCCTGTAAAAGTATTAAAAGGAGGAAATTCTACCATCAGCATTAAACTGAGCATCATGTTAATTTTCCTCCCTGTTTTTCTCCACGGCTATGCAACACTTTATTGAAAGCAAACATTATTACACCCAGAGGATTCAGAGGTGAAGTTTTATTCTGTTCCTAAAATATATACGATCTACCTTCATTAAAGAGACTATTTTTGTGAAAGAGTCTGTTAACAAAGCCCATCCCTGATGTTGTTTCTCTGCTATGTCATAGTGCCATGGTTTTCAAGCTCACCACAGCTGCAACAAGTTGATTTGAGGAATGCGTGGGAATAAAGGTTGGAGTGACTGTAAGGAGTGAATCATTTAAATTAAAAAGAAAAATCCAAACATCTCTCTTTGTCTTTTTTATTATAATTCATTTGATTTTTTTTTTAAAGTGAAATGTTGTCTTTATGGTCAAAGAACATCTGATGCTCACTAAAGAGCCCATAAAATATAAGCTGCACTGCCATCTAGTGGAGAATAAATACCATGGCATGTTATTGCCACCTGAAGGGGAGGAGGCTCTACATGTCTTGCATTGAAATGATCTGTTCTGATTGGACCTCAGATTTGGATGCAGCTTTGAGACAACAGAGAGGACACTGCTGTAAGAAGAAAATCAAGGACCAAAGCTGAAGTCGAAGTAGAATGGACAGATCAGTGTAAAGACACCTCCCTGAGTAGTTCTCATTGGTTGTCATGCAGACGTAAAGGTTTCCTGGGCTACTTTTATCACAAAACATCCTCCAACACATCTTCTAATACATTTATAATGATCTGTGTTTTTGCTGTGATGTAGCACAGTCAGCAGAAGAATGAAGAAGGGACACTGGCAGTTATGAGAAAATCTTTATGTAGAAATCTCAGTAATATTAGTGGGTGTCTTCTCATCCACCTGCAACGGTTCATATTCCAACCATGAATCATGCATGGTGTTTTTTTCTCTCCGTTGTTTTACAGGACAAAAAGTTGGCTTTGAAATAGAAAAAACATGTTAAAGTGCTCAGAGGGAAAACTTAGCACCTCGTTGGATTGAAGGTCCAGTAAAAATCATGGGATTTATTCGGTTTAGAACATTTAAAGATTGACATTTGTTGTCTTTGACTTTGACTAGGCCATTCTAACCTATAGATTTAAACCATCCATTTTATCTTCAACACCATGCCAGCAAAAACAATAATTCCCCAGCATGATGCTGCCATTACCTTGCTCCATTCTAAGAATGCTCAGTTCCGGGTAATTATATTGTGGTTTTATCCAACACATTGAAGTCCTGTTCTATTAAATATTTGCGTGCATAAAAAATTTGAAAAATTGACAGTGTGCAAAGCTGACCTACTTACTGACTGTAGACAGAACTGCATCAGTGACAGAAGCAGATGCAGTCATTTAGCATGTTTGCCTTCATTAATATGCAGAACATGATCATCAGAGCGTTGAATACTAGAAACGGATATGCAATTATAATTACTGCAAAAATTGCATCTTTTTCTACCCTGAATTGAAGTGGGTGCAGTTTCTGTCTCTATGTTTAAAGTCAGTCAAATTGGCATGAAAATAGATGTCTGCATTTATTATGGTAAGAAGGAGGCAAAGGAACAATCTCAGTAATGTTATTTTTAGGGGAAAAAATCTCTATATTCTATTGTATTTTCTGGGGTCTGGTTGGATCATTCGTTCGTTCCGTTGTGTGGTTCAGTGTTACTGAATACATTTTTGGGTTGTTAGTTTTGGGATCCCTTGAACTTGGCTCCTCATACTATTAATCATCAAAGCAAGTGAGAAACGAGCTGAAATCAGTCCATCTTTGGAAACATAAACCATCATTTATGGATCCAAAGTGCAGCACTGATTAATACTTTCTTAGAGGAGTAGAAATATGTCTGCTAATTAGTGGGAAAATGGGTTATCATATTTAATTTTATTTTAAAACAACTAGCTTCTCTCGGTTGCTATCTAAGCAGCTCTGTTCAAACATCTGTGGTGCTGAAAACACAGAGCTGCTACAGTCGTGCATCTGGTAGGATGATCACTGGGAGGAGAAAATTAACATATTCAATGCCTGCTAGTAAACCAACTGCCTTCTCTTGCTTTTTATTAACTAAACACTGCAATGTTGTTAATACTAATTGTTAAAAATAAAACATCCAAAAATATAAAAACCTCATCCATCCACTCATTAAATGAAACACTTGATGATGTGACAGACGTTTGTGACTCCCGGCCACATTAGTGCCTACGACTGATCTTATTTTAGAAAACGATGAGATGCCACAAAGTGTTCACCAGCCATAAATACCTCTACACCTGCATTAATTTGACCTTTTCCACAATAAATAGAATTTAAAAGGAAAATAAACAACCCATATAAAACTACCTGGTGACACAATGTCTGAAATAATCAGTTTTAACTTCAGGATCTTCATCTCAAATTGTTTGATGTATTTAGTAAGTAATTCAGGAAAACGGTCCCTGAAGAAACAGAATCCTCTGGTTTCACTAGCCACCCAGTGCTGCCACCTGGTGGGTTTACAAAAGAACTGTTTTATATTGTAGTGATGCTGATCATTGTGTCATCTTTCCAAATTAATTACAGTTATGTCCGATTGGGTGAAGTAGCCTATGTCTTTCAGGATAATTGTTTAAATCAACTTCACAATGCTCTGCTAATCCAGCCAGTTAGTCTTTCATATTAGTTTTAGTGAAAAACCTATACAATCATTCATCTTCTCCCAACCATTCAGTGCTAAAGATCAGTTTGTATTGATTAGTTCCTTATCACTCTCTTCACCTTAGCCTCATTAGCTGCTCTTCCCTCTGAGGGCTGCACATATGTGTGTAATGAGACATTACGGTTTCATAACAGGCTGGGTGATTATGAAACTAGGGCTTACTTTTTGGCACGAAACTTGACGTTGCCAGTATACAAACCGTATCTGAGCAGTTGGATCAGAAACTGCTGCTTCCTTGATGGAAAGGCCTCTAACAATAGACTGAAAAGTCTGAAAATATTCAGAGGCATTGTTAGAATGTGACACACCACGTCTTACAAAATTGAAACCTGCCAATCCAGATCATACAAACACTGGCATCTCCAAAGTCCTGTTGTGGGGTTTGGACCATGGCTCAAGAGACATTTTTGTCAGTATTTGTAGGTTACACATGTGTACCAAATTTCATACTAGGCTGCTTTGTTTTTTGGAAAGAAGTCTGATTTTGGTGCTTCACCAGCTTTTATAGGCTACTTTGATGTAGCATGTTACTCCTCTGAACTGGCATTGAACTTATTACACCATGTTTATTGTGAGAGGTCAGATTTTTATGCATAGCCCACATGCTTTGAAGCAGAAAATAATTTAGATCACTTTCTATCCCTATGCCTAAAGTCTATGCATGGTGTTTTTTCTCTCCATTGTTTTAAAGGACAAAAAGTTGGCTTTGAAATAGAAAAAAACATGTTAAAGTGCTCAGAGGGAAAACTTAGCACTGTTAAAGATCCAGTTAAAATCTTGGGATTTATTCGGTTTAGAACATTTAAAGATTGACATTTGTTGTCTTTGACTTTGACTAGGCCATTGTATCCCATAGATCTGCTCTGATCTAAACCACCTGTTGTATCTCCAACACCATGCCAGCTTATTTTTCTTGCTGAAAAAAAAAAACAATAATTCCCCAGCATGACGCTGCCATTACCTTGCTCCATTCTAATATGCAATTATAATTACTGCAAAAATTGCATCTTTTTCTACCCTGAATTGAAGTGGGTGCAGTTTCTGTCTCTATGTTTAAAGTCAGTCAAATTGGCATGAAAATAGATGTCTGCATTTATTATGGTAAGAAGGAGGCAAAGGAACAATCTCAGTAATGTTATTTTTAGGGGAAAAAATCTCTATATTCTATTGTATTTTCTGGGGTCTGGTTGGATCATTCGTTCGTTCCGTTGTGTGGTTCAGTGTTACTGAATACATTTTTGGGTTGTTAGTTTTGGGATCCCTTGAACTTGGCTCCTCATACTATTAATCATCAAAGCAAGTGAGAAACGAGCTGAAATCAGTCCGTCTTTGGAAACATAAACCATCATTTATGGATCCAAAGTGCAGCACTGATTAATACTTTTTTAGAGGAGTAGAAATATGTCTGCTAATTAGTGGGAAAATGGGTTATCATATTTAATTTTATTTTAAAACAACTAGCTTCTCTCGGTTTCTATCTAAGCAGCTCTGTTCAAACATCTGTGGTGCTGAAAACACAGAGCTGCTACAGTCGTACATCTGGTAGGATGATCACTGGGAGGAGAAAATTAACATATTCAACGCCTGCTAGTAAACCAACTGCATTCTCTTGCTTTTTATTAACTAAACACTGCAATGTTGTTAATACTAATTGTTAAAAATAAAACATCCACAAATACAAAAACCTCATCCATCCACTCATTAAATGAAACACTTGATGATGTGACAGACGTTTGTGACTCCCGGCCACATTAGTGCCTACGACTGATCTTATTTTAGAAAACGATGAGATGCCACAAAGTGTTCACCAGCCATAAATACCTCTACACCTGCATTAATTTGACCTTTTCCACAATAAATAGAATTTAAAAGGAAAATATACAACCCATATAAAACTACCTGGTGACACAATGTCTGAAATAATCAGTTTTAACTTCAGGATCTTCATCTGAAATTGTTTGATGTATTTAGTAAGTTATTCAGGAAAACGGTCCCTGAAGAAACAGAATCCTCTGGTTTCACTAGCCACCCAGTGCTGCCACCTGGTGGGTTTACAAAAGAACTGTTTTATATTGTAGTGATGCTGATCATTGTGTCATCTTTCCAAATTAATTACAGTTATGTCCGATTGGGTGAAGTAGCCTATGTCTTTCAGGATAATTGTTTAAATCAGCTTCACAATGCTCTGCTAATCCAGCCAGTTAGTCTTTCATATTAGTTTTAGTGAAAAACCTATACAATCATTCATCTTCTCCCAACCATTCAGTGCTAAAGATCAGTTTGCATTGATTAGTGCCAAAATCCTAAAAGTTCCTTATTACTCTCTTCACCTTAGCCTTATTAGCTGCTCTTCCCTCTGAGGGCTGCACATATGTGTGTAATGAGACATTACGGTTCCATAACAGGCTGGGTGATTATGAAACTAGGGCTTACTTTTTGGCACGAAGCTTGACGTTGCCAGTATACAAACCGTATCTGAGCAGTTGGATCAGAAACTGCTGCTTCCTTGATGGAAAGGCCTCTAACAATAGACTGAAAAGTCTGAAAATATTCAGAGGCATTGTTAGAATGTGACACACCATGTCTTACAAAATTGAAACCTGCCAATCCAGA